CCTTTTTCGTGTTTTTCGTTAACTTGGAGAACGACCGTAGCCTTCCCCCCCCACCCCGATGCCCCCTCTAGTCTGAGATAGGAAAAAAAGAATAGACAAAAAAGGGAAAAGACATTAATAGCATCCTTTCTTGTTTCTTCTCCCCGTCTATTTCGAGGGTAGTTTGACCCACCAACCCACCAATAGACGTAAGTGATGGGTCTTTTGTGAGTATAGATTAATTCTTTTTGCTTTAAGTTGGACGTGGGAACTGCCCCCCCCCCCTAGCGAGCTTAATACATTTCCCTTTTGGAAAAGGGATTGTATGAATCATTTCCTAACGGGCCGATTACCGGGGTTTACAGAGCACTCGGAACACCTCTCCCATGGGATGAAGCAAAGAAGCATGCAGACCAGGTTCGGGACCTGGGGATCAAGGTATCAAACCGAGTCTATGTGCACAGCCGGGTTATAGGCTGACGGCTTTATTGCAGCAACTCCTCCAGATATGGAACAAATATAGGAAGAATGAGAGGGACGTTCTCCTTTGGGGTGATGAGGTTTGTTGTGCACTGCATACACCCGACCACCATACCAACCCATCTAACGATATTAGATCGAATATCTCGTTCTTGCTTATGATGAAGAAAACAAGAACGCCTGCCTTTCCCTCAGACAAGCCGAGATTCTCGCGGAATTGGCGAAAAACGAGAGCCTGCGGAAGGCAGGTGGAAATGTGCCCGATTCTAAGGAACCAGCATAGTGGGTCTAGACCCTGCGAGCTGTACGAGTGATGATATTTATTTTATAGTACTTCCGAGCCGCTCCCTACTTTCCACCCCGAATTCGGGCGATTCATGTTGGAAGCCACGCCGGGGGCCCCATTCGGTTTGACGTGGAAAGATTTGTTGGCTGTTGAGGGGAATATGAAGCTCAGGTACGAGTTTTTCGTCGTTCACTGGGAGAAGGGGTTGTTGATGAGCCGTTTCCGTCCTATAGGAGAACTATAGCTAAGGAGCACATGGCCGAAAACGAGGCCCCCATAACGCTACCCTCTTTCCCCATGCTGGGAACCAAAGGGGTCTTCACACAACCGTACTACCCACCCACTGGGTCTCAGTCTAGGAGTCAATTTATTCCTGATGAGGCAATTAATCCTCATATTCGCTTCCCCACGCTTGCGGCGAACATCACGTCTAGACGTGGGATGAAAGTAGCCATTAATATGCCTGTTTTCTGTGATGAAAATACTCCCTGTCCCTTCAATGACCCAACTATAGACTACGATAGACATCTCTACCCTGAGGACGATGATGTTAGAAACGGGGCTGCAAAAGAGGGGCATATTTACATGGACGCTATGGGTTTCGGGATGGGATGTTGTTGTTTACAAATCACGTTCCAGGCCAAAAATATCACTGAGGCCAGGCAGCTATATGACCAATTGTGCCCTCTGGGACCAGTAATGCTGGCTTTGACTGCTGCGTCTCCGATATTCAAGGGGTTTCTGGCCGATGTCGACGTACGCTGGAATGTGATCTCTGGGGCAGTTGACGATCGTACCGAGGAAGAGAAAGGGTTGAAGGTTGGTTTACTCATGGCATCATCCGACAGGGGGTCGGGGGGGGGCAGTTTCATTCGCAGCTAACCCGATAATAGCCCCAGAAGGATAACCGCTACGTGATACCAAAATCACGATATGATTCTGTCTCGACTTATATTTCACAGGACCCTGCTCTACGTTCGGAATACAACGATCTAGATCTGGTGATTGATAAAGATATCAGGCAGAGGCTTGTGGATAATGGTTCGGGACCCCTGCACGTGGGATAATGTGTCGGTTCCGGTGGAAGTTAACATTACCGGTGTATAGGCGTGGATGAACGTCTTGCAACTCACTTTGCTCATCTGTTTATTCGGGATCCTTTAGTTATCTTTCAAGAAACGCTGAGTGAGTCACCGGACGACAAAGCGGATCATTTCGAGGTTAGTATGCGCGTGCCCCTTGCGCTCATGGATTGTATTCGTTAGCTAAAAGTTGACCTGCAAGAACATCCAATCCACAAACTGGCAGCATATGCGCTTCAAGCCCCCGCCGCCTGGTGGGAACATTGGCTGGCGGGTAGAGTTCCGGAGCATGGAAATTCAAGTGACTGACCACGAGAATGCTGCCTTTGCGATATTCATTGTGCTGCTCACTCGTGCGATTCTGTCCTATGGATTGAATTTCTATATTCCGATATCGAAGGTAGAGCCCCCATACCCGGTGAGAGGAGGTGGAAAGCCGCATAATCCGATCGCTAATCCCGGGCGCCGATTCCATTGTAGGTTGACGAGAACATGGCGACAGCGCATCACCGAGATGCGGTCTTGACGAAGAAGTTCTGGTTCCGCAAGAATCTGTTCCCACCACGCAAGCCAGCCAGTAATGGCTCCCAGACACCTGCTCCATCATGCCCAGGGACACCACCACCCGTGGAGGACGAGTATACGCTGATGACTGTCGACGAGATCATGAATGGACGACAGGATGAGTTTGTTGGTCTGATTCCGCTGATAGAGAGTTACTTGAACACGGTCAACGTTGATGTCGTTACCCGGTGCGAATTGGCTGGATATCTGAGTTTGGTCTCAAAACGGGCAAGTGGAGAGCTGCAGACCGGCGCAACTTGGATAAGGGATTTCGTGCGCAATCACCCGGATTACAAGAAGGACAGCGCCGTAAGCCAGAGCATCAACTATGACTTGATAAAAGCCGTGGAAGCTTTGGGGAGCGGGCAGGGGCGTGAAGCAGGATTAGGCGATCGGCTGTTGGGCAGGTTCGGTTAATCTGCGCGGTTGTGAACTGTGAAGCCTATCTGTCCAAGTACCATACTTGCTGCCCTCAGGAGACCCTGAGAGCTCCGCCTTGCTTCTCGCTTTCTTCCTTTCTCCCCTCATATTTCGCACGAACTTTCGTTGCCTTGTTGTGGAATAGATTTTTACACTGCCACCCTGGGGGTTTTTCTTTCCCATCATTCTTTCCTTACCCCATACTGTTACAAACCCTATAGAAAGTTCCGTGGCTTCCCAGGAAGACGGAGTGAGCGCTTGCTATATCCTAATTCATTCGTTCATTCGTTCATTCGTTCATTCGTTCATATATACAAGTACCGTTCTGTATCATACCCTGATTTTTTTTAAAAGAAAATCAGGCAAGGGTAAAATGGAAATAGGTGCGGTATCATCCCGACTTAGCATATCATATCTACTTGTGGCAAAACCTCAAACAAACTTAAAAATATCACCCACCAGGGAATACCGGCAGTCACAATACCATAGCTTGCAGCAGCTTTACAGTAAGGGAAGGAGAAGGAGGAGAAGGAGAAGAAGAAAAGGGACTCCCATATGACACCGTGCCATACCCTCCCCTCAAACACATACCCTCACGTTCTCTCACCTCAACCGTAGACGCCGTAGTCCATAGTGCTCACGGGCGGATAACCACACACGCACAAGGCGAATTATCCCTCCCCCCACTCGTAATCCAAGCTATCCTATCGAACCCTCGACTTGACCGGCAGGCAGGCAGGCAAATTCCCCTCCCTTCCCCTCCAAACTCGATCCTGCATCGTAGACTACCTATCTACCAGGGCACTCTAAAGTACGGTGCAATACTCTTGCGGGTTGTTTTCACTTCGAGGAAGCACAGGCGGATCTTGCCGTTCGGCGGGGGTGGAGGAGTGCAGTGATGGATGAATTGCATGTGGGGTCCCTTTTCACTCTTTGAGAGCCCGGATGTGTAGTCTGGCCGATCCTCTTTTTTTTCTCGCTAGAGAATTATCTATTACCATAATTTGAATACACCGTGGTGCTCTGAGAAGCGGAGAGGGGTACAAGTACGGTGTACATATAGATAAGAGATAAAATAGAATCATGATAAAACGTGACAAAGTAGTACAAGTGGGAAAAAGTGGGAAAAAAATGGTTTGGGAAAACTGCTAAAACTAACTACCGAGTGCTGCTACACACATGAAAAAAACAGAAAAACAAAAAAAACAACACAATACATAGCAATACATGACGCAGTTTCACCTTCACATTACTTGTTACTTACCTGCTAATCAGTAGCCGCTCGCGGTTACCGCCCATCCTTCGATCGGATTTGATTGCGTAGAGCACGATGGACAAAAGAGGGGCCCCTTCCTTCTCTTCTGGGGGGGGAGGGGGGGACAACGCTGTTTGGGGAAGTAGGATGGAAGGATTGATGGATGGAAGGGGTGGGGAATATAAAAAAGAAAAGAAAGGAAAAAAGAAGAGATAATATAGCACGAGAGGAGGGAAACCGTTTTAAAGTGAGGAGGGTTAAAAAGAAAAAAGGGGGTTACAGTAGAGCAAAGAGAGAAAGAAAGAAAGGGAAGTAGTAAGAGGTAGGTAGAATAGGGAATAAAGGGGACGAAAGAAGGGAAAAAAAAGCCCCGTCACATGTGCCATGAATTCTCCAGTAACACCCCACCTGAACCATCACTCCGCGTGCCCATCAGCGGTCCAAGAAAGTCGCCCAGGTTATCGCTATCGGTGTAGCCACTGTCAACGTCCAGGTCTCCTGTATCGGCCCGCACGTCGTCGCCGCCAGTGAAACTCTCTTCCGACAACGTGGAGAACGACGATATGGACGGCGGGGTACCGCGGAAGGACGCGGTTGTGGGAGTTTCACTCAGACTCCAATGCTGATCTACCGGCCGGGTACCTATTTCGGCAGATAGGGAATCAGAGGGATGGATGAAAGTGCCGCTGCCCCTATCCTCTCCTCCGTAAATGTGCGTTGCGTGTGTCTGGTCCATTGCGGCTAGCAGCCTCTCCCAATCATACGCCGATATCGGGGGCGGGTTCTGCGAGTTCGGATGCAGGTCATTGGATCCCATGTCCCAGGGACCATCGAGATATGGTGAATCAGAAATCAGGATTTGGCGTCCTTGAGAAATTTTGACTGTTGCCGCATGGCTGGCTGCAGGATATCGGGTTCGAGGCGTAGGTGATAGATCCGTGAGTGACGCAGAGGTCAGACGAACACCGCCATGGTCACCCATACCAGACATGTCCTGGCTACTTGCACGACGGATGTCCCCACTCTTGCCTCTGCGTAAACTAAACTCTGCCGAGATCGAAGAAAATCTCCTCCGCAGTGGTCCTTGCTCTGTAGGACTGACCAAAGGTGGCGTTAAGGGTGACTGGGTATGCTCCTTTGGCTTCTCGTGTTGGTTTCTGCTGCTCGCGGCTACCCGCGGCTCGATATTTACAACCGCAGCGGCGATGGGCCTAAGTTCCTTGGCCACAAGGGGGTGACAGCTTTCGATTTCCTCCAAAACACCGGTAATTAGCCTTTGGTTCTCCTTCGCCAACGGTGTGTGTTGTGGGCAGTCTAATGTGCTGTGCAAAAGAGTAAACCCGGACATAAGGAGCAATTGCGTTTTGTTGAGGCAGAACGAAAACCCGAGTTTACGTTCGGTGAGCAATTGAATAATCTGAATGATGCATTTGCTGGACTCTCGGATCATATGCAAAGATGCAGATACTTTGCTATCTAAGGTCGAGCCAATAATCGGTCTGTGAATCAATGATCGAATATAATGATAGGCCAGCACCTGAGGAACAATGATTAGCTTAGGTCAATTAACGAGGGTGCCTGACCATGCGCAGGCATTCGTGGGGCATGCGGATTAAAAATACCAATAGTGGTGATCGGCTGTCAACGACATTGGTGGCTGGTGTGCCATTCACAAACTCGAGTCTAAGATGTGGTGCTAGTCCGCTCTTCCACGCCCCAAGCTCGTCCTCAAGTTCCCTGAGCTTAGTATAGCTCACTTCATGAGAGCTTGATGTAGGGTATACCGCATCAAGAACTTTAGAGAGAACCCTTGATGATCTGAATAGGGCCAGTGCGCTTGAAATCTTTGTGGAATCCCCCGGTAGGGTTGGTGAGAAGCCCTTTTCGGAAACATACTCGTCGTCAATATCGGATGGATACTCTGTATCAATGTCCTCATCTTTAAAAAGCTTGGGTAACCCGAGCATTGCTGCAGAGAAGCTATATTCACCCGCAGGTCAATACAAGGAAAATTACGTAGGATGCGCGAAGAGAAATATTCTAGAAATACCAACCTGTCCAAGCAATAAACACACCAAAACGTCCTCTTTCTCATCTCGCCACTAAGGGCTCCCAAATTGAACTTCCTCTGGCTCTGGTTTAAACCTAACCTCAACGCGATCCCAACAGCAAGGCTCTTGTAATGCAAAAGCCTGGAATAGTCACCCAAAGAAAAGCAGTATAACTGAGCAAGAACAAGACACTGAAGTGTCTCGATAGTGCTATCCCCAATAATGGCATTAAGAGACCGCTGCCACTGAGCATCGAATTGCTGATCAGGTCCATCTCGTGGCTAATATTGATGTTAGAACACCTCTTTTTTGGCAAAGCAAGACCAGTTCTCGGCCTTACCTCATTTTGCTGTGCAATAGCAAATACCAAGAATAACTGGGCTACCGAGTGGTGGGGTAACGTGTTCGATTGAGACCCGCCCCCAGATACCAGTTTCTTGTAGGAAGCCAGAAATGTTGGTCTATGGATAACCGGAAACAAGGGATGGTACTCTTGAAAATATGATACCAAAAGGCGGTCCGACAAAAGTCGTGGAGGCGTTTTTATTGTGTCCTCGTGTGAGTTAGTTTGTTCCGATCGTTTTACCGACTGCGAACCCCCAAAAAGGATATCTGGATTGAAATCTGCCCCACTTTTTTCCTTGAAGAGCTCTTTAAATCATGAATAAGCATTTGTATGAGAAAAATTTTGCTAAGCAATCATTTACGAAGATTTCACACTGGGGGTGCGGTGAACGAGGCACATTGGACCCTACGAGGGCAAGCTCCTCGTAAAAGCGAAGGCGAACTTCGTGAGATGCACTCGAGATAAAGTAAAATTATGCTCGAGATATGGAGGTAAAGACATACCTAAAAATTGCCTTCCGCTGGAAGAGCCGACGTAGAAGGCACCATTACCATCCGCTTCGCTGCCCCCCACTAAAGATGAGGTTTCGTGAATGACAAATGTATCATCCAGTCCCAAATCTGCCGAACCGCTCCTCGCGCTCTCCGGAGACTTATGTGCTCTATGCGAACCACCAGAGATGGCACTCGCAGGTGGCGAGTAAGGCGAAAAGGAGTGTATCCGAGAGAGCATATCCAGTTGTTCATCCTTCGCGTCTAACAAATCCTTCATCTCACGAACCTCCTGCTCTAAGCATCGCACCCTCTCCTCCAACGACTCTGTATACCCCCTTGGGAACGCCCTTCGAGACAGCTTGTCGGACGTCTTGCACTCAAAGCCCACGTTTGCGCATTGTGAGCAGCATGGTCGTATCCCATCGCATCGTATCTTCTTTGAACGGCAGCGGTCGCAAGCCTGAGCAATACGTGTTTGGCTGCTGCCGCATTTGATAAGTTTCATTGGTAGTATTCCAGGCATTTTAGCCGAGGCCGACGACTATAGTCGCCGTCTTCTTCTTCTTGATTGTTTGGGTTTGGTGATAGTGTTGCAGCAGTCGAATGAGTGTGTGGGTGTAAATGGTGTAAGTGTGAGTGCGGGTGGGCGTGTGCGAGCGAGATTTCTTCAGCTTACTTCTTCCCTAGTCTTTATCACTCCCCGGCTTTGTTGTGCATCCAAGGGTTAACCCGGGCTGATGACTTCGAAGATGCCGGAGGTTCGCTCTCCTCTCGAAACTAGTGGGAAAATGCAGAGAAAGAGGCGAGCGGTAGGTCTAATCCGGGGAAATCCGGGGGTGGTTGGGGGGTGAAAAGAAGGAACTAAAGAGAGAAGGGAGCTCAAGAATGGCCAATGGGAGAAGAGTCTTGGTTGGATGTGCGTCAATCACAGTGCGGAGGAGTTACGGCATCTCAATTTCTATCCTAAAGAAAGTAACGAGTACCGGCAACTATCTTGAGAGCGAAGTATGAACGGACCCGTACAATAGCAAGCACTTTTTCACATTCGTCTACCTGGGAACGCTCAAGCAGTGATCAATGTGGGCTCTTATTTAATCATGCGATGTGTAGCCACCTATGCTAAGTACAGGACAGGGCAGGTCTCGCACCGTGCAACTCCTGGGCTGGCTCTTGCTGCTAGTCAGCATGAGCATGCAATACCTGGCGTGGGAACTGCACAGTCTAGACAAACAGGGGTGCCCCTAGTCCATCCCAAAGAGACGAGAAAAAAAGCCCTGCTCCAAGGTGTCTGACTACCGCAATAACTCTTATGATCCACTATCTCCGTTAGGCCTCGAATCCCCGCATTTAGGCACAAAACGCCCCGAAAAGGTATAGTGTTTATCTGAGGCGGTATGGCTTGAGCGAGCTGAACTTCCTGGATCTCTTTAACTGGTGTTCGTATCTCTGTTAACTTGCTCAGCCGGATCTATTCCAGTTTAGCTCTGTTGCTTATCTGATAGCGAATTGTGTGAGTAAGTAATTTACCGGTATTGTACCGGTACGGTAGTTGGTTAAAAAAGGCGGGAAACCTAGCACTCGTGCCTGGAGAAATGCCTGTTTCGGGAGAGCTCAACATTGAAAAATTCCGCCTAACCATTTCACCCTTTCAGGACCTCTCCGTCTTTCTTTCTACGAGTACTCGAGTACAGTATTCATAGCCTAGGCAGTTTTATGACAGAGTGGAGCTTCCTTGATGTTCAACAGTGGCAGGAACCAGCAGCAGCCTATCAAAAAAAAAAAAGGAAGGAAGGAAGGAAAAGAAAGAAAGATAACGGCTTCTCACAACAGCCCGCCTGCCAGCAAGCAAGGACGGGACGCACTTGGCGACCCGAATCCGGCAGACCAGATGTGGAAAAAAAAGGCCAGAAAAAAAGTGATGTGTAAGAAAGTAAGAGACCTAGGGAGAGAGGGAAAAAAAAGAAAACTCGAAACGTGTGTATATTGTTGCTCACGAGATATGACATGACCCTTTGCCTTCGGAAGCATAAAGGAACTAAGTGAATCAAAGAGGAAGGAAAGAAGGATCATGAAGCCGAGCCATCCCTTCAGCTGCCAGCTTAAAACGATAAACACTAGCCTATTTGAGTAATCGGGAGCAAATAGGGACCTGCTCGTTTCTATCATGGCCATGCTGAGCAGTACTAGTTTTGCGGTACTCTGAGCACTACACCCCTTCCGAGTAACGAAGTTTTTCCGACAAGCAACATGATTGCTCAAATATGCTCGTGTCCAACTTCTTAAATAGGGCTTAGACGTCAGCGGTCGAGGGATAATTACCGTAAAAATTCCTAAAATCCACTGTTTCCGCCTGTAATCAAAGTCGAAGGCTCCCGAGAAGGATTAGCATTTTCCTGACACAGTATAAGATCAGCCAACTAGATATATTAGGCCTCATCAATCAGTATTCGCAATTCTCACAACTTGCCAAACTAAGCCTATCGTAGCCGGACGGGCTCATTCCTGCTGATATCAGTAAGGACCCTCTCTATCTCTATCTCGACAAAGCCTTATTGTGTGCATCCATCTATCTAAACGAACTGAATAGGAAACGTAGGATGCCCGGAGCCATCCTCCATAAAAAATCAAGAAGGGTGGCATTCGCCTGGCTTCTAACGATAGCTTGCTGAATGCTTCAGCAGGTTCTTGCCAAGGCATATCTTCGTGAAACAGTCCTTTTCTGCTGTTTCTTGGGGACGGGGACGGGATTGCCGACGCCATAAGGAGGAAGGAAGATTGTCTGGGCTATGGCATGATCGGAGTGTTCCTCGCAAAAACGTGGAGCTCACCAATCTCAGATGAACATAATTTTGGATATTAGTCCCGATTTCTGCCTCATCCAGGAATACGATTTACATCACTGTTGACCGACAGCCTTTGTGAGCGATGGTATCTTGCCCCCGTTGGGATTGATGTGCATTTCCGAGCATATTAACCGCGGTGCTGCCATCCCGCTCCGTGGTCCTTATAGTACTAAACAAAAAAGCCTTACACGTTGATCGTGGTACCTCCCATCTTGCCCTAGGATAATCCCTCACGAAAGGTCATCTTCGTCGTCAGGGGCTTCAGGATCATCTGACATTTCGGAGCTCCCCTGCACCTGCATCAGATAGGTCTGTACCACCTCCGAACCTAGCAATCTTTCTTTCTATTCCACTCATCAATACATCGGCGGCTTCTCTAGGTATGTGGGGAAGATGACTGTGGTGGAAGGATGTGTAAATAGACTTTGGAGGAAATACCTGAGTCTCAAGTACCTTGAGGGCCTTCTCCAACAATGCCCTTTCTAGCGTTCGAAGCCTAGTTGCTACGTGAAGCTCCTGGGACCCGATATTGAACGATTCTTGATCAGTGATCCAGGCTATCTCTTCCTCAGATTCCGTCAGTCGGGCCAATTGAGTTTCTACACGATCTTGAACGAGCGCTGTAGCTCGTAACTGGTATATCGGCCATAAACTACTATCTCCTAGAAGATCCACAAGCTTGGCGATATCTTCAACCTCCTTCGAGTCCCAGAGTACCTGAAGATGTCGCTCCCCAGTTGTCTCTTGCAGGACCCTGAATGATAAACCGTCCTCTTCGTTAACGCACATTAGCCTGCTTAGAGGTTAGACACATTCTATTGGCAGTCGGCTGAGAAGGTAAAATCGATATATTTCATGGATAACAGACCATATAAAATGACTTGCCCATTCGACGGTATGTCCTAGGTCATATATCCCCAACGTTGGGGCAGATTTGAAAACTGCTTGTTTGGCGAACCCTAGCGGGTCATCTGGGAGACCTTGGAGGTCTAATACAAGCCACAAAGCCATATCCTTGCTTGGATCCAAAAACCCGTAGGAAAACACCATTTCTGCGGCACTTTTTTCTTGGCCGTAGCTAAAAGAAGAAAATCATTTCTACGGTCAGCAATTCGCCCCGAGAAATCAAAGTCAAAAACCACCATCGCCCGACGCACTTGATTGTGATTTCCTCCCCGTGTTTCAAAGTGCCAGCTCTATCTTCTCGCGGAAGTAGGACCACATGGGAATCTTCATCGACACTATAGTAGGAGTTTGCTTCAAAGCAGTGGTTTGCGAAGTCCAAAACAGGCGCCATCCCAATCCCTAACCTTGGAAATTGCAAAACTCTAGATCTGAACCACGAATCTGCTGTTTGCCAGTCTCTTAAGGTCATCTTTGACTCGTCCCACCAGGCCTTCTGGCACCACTTGATTTCCTTCGTGGCCTCCCGGAAATCCTCGAATTCTTGTTCAAGGGCTTGGAGCTTTGCTGTCACCGCCTTCGTATTTTAATGAAAGACGCCAATTCCAAATATCAGTCCATATTCCCGGTTCCATGAAAAAATTTTTTTTTTCAAAGTTCAATGCATAGCGCGGATTCATACCACATCTAACGACGTCCCGCGTAGGAGCTTCCGTTCGGTTTCAGTCCAAGTTGTGGGTATCGACACGGCTGGAAGAAACTTGATATATCTAATCTTTCATTGTCAAAGCTATCCTACGTGGAGGCGTAAGTAAAAGTTGACATACTCACTCCAAGCTCCACTCCGACCAATTCCCAAACCAGCAGCGGTACTCATGCTCATGACCAAAAATACCATTATAGCACCCCTAGGGGCCAGGGTGAACTCCCCAGCAGCGGCCAATGCTTCAGCTAGATGGACGTCAGCTTTAGCATGCCCCTCGACAGTCTTAGCACAAACAACAAGCTCCGCGTCAATATTTAGGAATGGACGTGAAGGATCATAAGCGGTTGGAGCATGCTTAACCCCAACCCCAGCATCAATTGGCTCGCCCCCAATGCGAGCAATCTCGACGCCGTTCAGGGAGATATTATTGAGTCGGATAAAGGGTGCCAGGGACGAAGTCGGAAGAGTCTCATAATGCATCTTCTTTGATTATATTTTCCCCCTTTGTCAATCTCGTTATCGGTATCGATAGAGCGGACCGTAGTGCCGGATCAACAAAAACAAGAGATACAGTACTGTAAAGTACCAGTATATTGAGTTTGAAGTCAAAGGATGAAGGCACAAACCGGAGGGAAAGAGGGGAGGGGGAAAAAGAAAAAAATGAAAGAAAAAAAAAAAACAGGTCCGGAACGGTATTGATAGTCCGGGAGAATGGCTGAGGACCGGTACGATAGCACCCACCTTCTCCGCTGGAGACGCTTAAATTCGGGGAGCGGGATTATGCCCCACAATAATGTTCGCAACCAATCGTTTGAGCCTCAGTTTGGGTGAGGAGTTGTACTCGAGTAATGAGTGGTCAAGCTTGGTATGTCCTCCTTTAGCTGTTGTTAGTTAGCGACTGTGCCCAACATGGGGAGCCCTTCCAACACGTTGTTAGGCATCAAGGAGCTAGCTTGGAGGCATCATAAGAGGACCACGAAGTCGTTGAGGTGAAATTGCCTACTGTATATGAGAAAAGACGTGCGATGGACCTCCCCCCATTGCGGTTTGTTGTTTGCAGCTTATCGCACTCTAGTGAATTATACCTGGGGGCTATCCTCGGAGAAATGAAGCAGCTGATTGATGTCGTAAGTTATTAATTACGCTTTGACTACACGTGTACTCGTAAGAAGAAGACAAAGAAGAAGAAAGAATATAATTTATTGAGTTAGTTCATAAAGTAAATTTAATGCGTCGATTATGACACTCGTAATGACAAGGTTTGTGAAAAAGGCTGCTATTGCATATTGCATACCACCGCGGAACTCTGAGGCTCGGTCAGATTTCTGGCGCTGTGCAATAGCAGCCCCATCTCACAAATGCTGTAGCATTGTGAGACATATACCCCAGATAAAGCACAAAAAAATTTCCCCAGGTTTCACGAGAGACTCAGACCTAAGCAGATACTCGAGTACGAGTACTTGAGCACGTTAGTGCAGGTTGACCATCCTCGAGTGCTCGAATACCATGCGAAGGGCCAGACTCCATTGGAGAAGAGCCCGCATATTGAACAACACAACATTTCTCATGGCACAAGAATATCAAAGTGCGGAAACAGCGGGAACAAACACACATCTTTTACCCATCAAAGCGGGGGGTGGGTTGAATACCGCATTTGATAATGAAAATTATGAACGAATTGATCCAGGTATTATTGTCACCACCACCACCCCAGACGAACCCGCCAATACCTAACCTCTTATCAAATAACATACCGGCACTGTCCATACGAACACCATTGCCAAAGCCTTTTTACCATTACTAACCCCACGCCAATAGCGGAGATAGCCAACCAGCCAGCCGTAACTTGTCAACCCCCCCCCCCTCTCAAAACTCGCTCTCTTCAATGCCTTGGCCTGGTCTCCCCACGACAAGTTTCCGCAGTTCCCAAAGATGTCGAAAGAAAGAGGGAAACCCCCCCACCAATATGATACTTGTAAGTCTAGCTGGAGTAGCGCTGGCAGCACAACCGATTCCCCAACAATAAGGGGAGAGAAGCGAAGAGCATAAATCATATGATGTAGTCTTTAACGGGGGCACAGCGAACTACTGGCGGGTGATGAGCAGGAGTATTTGGCAGGCGAAAAAAAGTGTATTTGTCCAAGTAAGGTGACGAAAAGAAAGAGAAAAAAAAATACTTGTTGCTTATCCCCGTTCATCACCCGACGGAATTTGTCTCGCCCCCGTTGGAGACTGTATCTCGCATAAAGTATCTGAAAATTAAACAGGGATGTCTTCCACGGGCTGAATGGTTGTGTAACAATAGTGGTATCTCCGGAGAGACATGTTGCTAGATACAAGCATCATACCCGCAGCGTCGAAGGATTTTTAAAAAAGAACCGCCGCTGCATACAACCAAGATCCAGACAAAAGGGCCAACCAAATTCTAGTGGTATGCAAGAGCGACAGCAGTCCTTTTTAAAAACGCTTCGGCATTAATAGTGGCACGGGTAACGAAGCCCGACCCTTCCGACTGGTTCAAGATTATCAGTAATGAAGGCGAGAAGAAGAAAAAAAATTTGGACTTGATCTGTTTATTTAGCCTTTGCGGCTAAGTTCACATACTCGAGTATGCTGTGGAAGCCCGGTTCTGAAGGTTACTCGGATGGAGGGTGGAGGGGGCAAATTTCGTACTGGACAAGCGCAGGAACGGTAAAGTACGGGCGGGCCTGGGGCTCGTCCTGCAGCGATGTGATGTGCGGTAGTCTGCCGGGTGCATCCTGCTACCACAGCTGCAGCAGATAGGAGAGAGAAAGCAGAAGCAAACAGCCCCAAGGCGGGAGCGACCGACATCACGCGGGCATAGAAATATCATATCTCTCGTTTAGACATTCCATACTGACGATAACTCACCTCATTCCTTAGAAGGCGTATGATAGACAAAAACAATAATATGATACCTGATGTGTGGCTAACTTAATCCGACTGAGTCACGAAAAAAAAATTATTATAAATACTCATTTTTCACCTGGCAACAACTTTGTCCTCAACATCCTACCTCCCATCATCATCATCATCACCATCAACTTCACTACCACCACTACCACCACTACCACCATCACAAGGATCAAACGGGGCGAAGGCCAAATCTAGATCCGAACCAAAACCGAAGTTAGTTTTTATCTAAAGGAAAAAAAAAGAAATGCTTCAAAGACCAGTTGCGGGCGCCCTCCTCCGCTCTTCAAGCACCCTCTTTGGCAAGACAGCTGCCCACCAGACTCAGACCCGTCTTCATAACGAACGCCCAACGCTACACACAACGGAGAAGAAGCACGGGCTAGATGTCCAACCCGAGCAATCGCAACGCGGCATGATGGAGAAGGAGGGTTCCGTCTTCACCGAAGCACGCGGTCAGAAGGAGGAGCCCGAGAAGGAGTTCAAGAATGCTCCCGGCCCAGTCCTTGGGTCGCAAGAGGAGTGGGGCGGTAGTATGCCATTCGTTTACCCCCCCACGTGGAACAGCTTTGGCGCATTCGTAGGGGCATAGGTTAGCGGTTGATGATACCTCGGGGGGCTTTTTTGTCTTTTTTGCTTGCTCTCTTTTTCTTTTTTTTACAGAGGGTCAACGAACTTGGGAGCTTATAGAGAAAAGCATGATATGTTGTACAGGTTTACTCTTTTTCTTCTTCCTTTCTTTCAATGTATCCTTTGTTACGCTGTACCTGTACTTGGGATGGGGTTTTATCATTATCATTATCATTAGGTGTCACATAGCTATCGGACCTAGTGGTTCAATCACTTCTGCATTTGCATTTACCGCCTGGTGATCATGATACTTTTATTCCCGGTTCCCAAAATCAGTGGGGGAGGTATCCATGTCCGCCTAGCCCGAAACTCAAACCAAAAAAGGCCCACGTATTGGGCTCCCTCTAATATTACAATAACTTCTCCATACAAGGCTGTGAACACTTTCTCGCTCACCATTCTAGAATCATACCGGTATTAAGCCTTCCCGACTTTGAATGTCAGAATCTACCATCTAGTGTGTCAGTAACAACTCTTTGGAGCGAGATGGAAGGGGGTTGGAACAGACATCGTTTTTCCCAACTTCCACAATATCAGTCTCAGCAACTCTTGTGCCTCCAACACCTTCTATGTAGGCAATTGCAACATCCCCCATGACCTTCTTTGCAACGTCTCTCACAGTCGAGTTCCTGTTCCGGATGTTAGGTATGCTCTACTATACTGAGGGAGGGGTCCGCACTTGCTGACCAAAACACAATCCCGAAAAACACCTGTTGAGTTGGCCCCGGATGAGAAAGTGTTAACATTTCTAACAGGAAACACGGGAACCAGTCCAAGCAATTGAGCAGCTCTAGAAAGAACTTGTACAACTCCTGTACTTCCGAATCTATAAAGAACCATGTCTTTCAAGTTCTCCACACGTCTACGGGTGTCAAGTTATTAGCATCTATAAAACTACGAAATTGAGTGAGGATAAACAACAAACGTTTTGAGCTTGTCGTCCAACTCTTTCAAACCTCCACCATCCGGATCGCCATCTGCGACCAGATCTTCCCTGGCATCCACAAAGTCACTACCCTCAACATATCTGACATAGCCCTGCTTCGCTAACTTTCTCAGAAAGACCTCCGAGATTGCGCTGGTAAGCACAATGGTATTTGGGTCTCGCTGTTTAGCAATCTTGGCGATGTTTTTATCTGCATCGGGGTGATCAATCTTGTTTAGAGCGCAAACCGTCGGGAACTTCTCATCCGTGAACGCATTAGCCACTTTTCCAATCGTCTCCGGATCCCAGCTCTCTAGTGGTGTCTTTAATTGAAGTTTGTCTAGGGTTCGGGCGACCATAGCCTGATTGGAGCCATATCCGGAGAACTGGCTTTGAAGAGTATCAACTGGTGAAGCCTCTGTCCATTGTAAATCAAAATTAAGCAGGATCCCCTCAAAGCTTGACGTAAATGAGAAACTTACTCAAAGCCACGTGTCGTCTCTTTATTGATCCCCTATCGCCGCACGCCATATCAAAGATGGGCCAAGAGCCTCAAACCGCCGCAGGGAAAACCCACCATTTCTCCATCAAGTTTCCCTGAATCCACTGCACAATTTCCCCCCTCAGCCAGACGATATCCTGAGAAGGGTCATATCCCCTGGTATTCTTCCCCTCGGCATCCGTAGTCCCACTAACATCGACAACGTGAACCAGTGCATCAGCATGTCTAAGGTCGTCCAGAAACTTGTTTCCCAACCCTCTCCCTTGGTGAGCACCAGGTACAAGACCGGCGACGTCGAGGAGCTCAATTGGCACAGATCGTTTGCCATTATTGCAAGAGCCGTAGTTCGGTTTGCACTGGTCTGATTTGCCAAATCGAATGCATGCGCAGTCCTGGATTCAGACGGTATGACACGGCCATTTTTCTATCTTAGGTCCTGATCTTCTTTATTTAGGGCTTTGGATTGAGAGGTGAAGCACAAAGACTTACGACTTGAAGGTATCCGATTGCTCTCTGGGGATCGATGGTTGTGAATCTGGCGCAGGTAAGTATGACCACGCATAATGGGTATAACCGGGTGGGCGGTTTCGGGGTAACTCACGGAAAGTTCCCTAGGCACCGAGTTAATACGACTCAGCTGAAGTTATGTTCTCTAGGCGCTCCTTCGGACCAGGCATACATACCAACTTTCGAACTCGCATCGGTCAGGGAGTTTAACATCGTGGATTTACCACTAGATGGTTTCCCGACAAGGCCAATGAGAGGATCGCGAGGCATTTTCCTAAGCAATTTGTCGAAAATCGATTGACGTTGGTGCTAACGGTGACGGTTGAAGTGATTGCTGCAAGGTGGGGTAGGGAAGAGTTTGGGGGGGGGGTGATTCCATTCATCTGATTGAGGCTCTTCTCACTAGGATTGCCGAAAGCCATTGCCAGTAGCTGTTACCCGTGTGGCTGCCCTGATGGGCTTTTTTTTTGCCTACATCCCGTTTACTCGTATACCCACGTCTCGCATTATTATTATCCATGCCCTCTCCTGGATTGAAGCTCTTAGCGTGGCAACGTTAGTATGGGATCGGGGAGTGGGTCAAGCACAGAAGCGAATCACTTTGGATGTGAAATCCTCGTTGCAAGAATTTCGACAAAATGAAACCGATAAGGTGTTACCAGGAATACCTCCAACACTTGTGTGTTTCCTCTTTCTAAGGCGTCAATCGAGATTTTTCAAATTTCTACTTTTTTGTAACTGATTCACTTCCCCATCTGACCCGCTTCCGAGCCCAGCACGTTAGGTTGATCGCATACTGTACCGGCACGGTATCATACCAGTATTAGTAACGACAAACCAGTGACTACAGTAGTCTACAGTTGTCCTTGGGGATAAATAAATTATATTGAATCCTTGGAGATGTAAGAGACAGAAAAGAAAAAAAAAAAAACTCCCCTGCTCCCCCGCTCCCGCAGGAATTTTTATGAGATGAAGGCGAAAGGTTTTCCGATTTCCGTTTTACCATCACCCCCACAAGTATTGTATCGGGGCCACCCGAATCTAGAACCCAACAAAAAAAAAAAATTTCATCAATGAGCACGTTTCCGCCACCCCTTCGTGTGAATTAGACCAGGGGAAACCATTGGACAATAAGCAATTCAAGGTATAGGCATGAGGTGGCGGTACTGTACGAGTACAGAGCAATAGTGTTGACCTTGATCTTGGTCGAAATTGGTGGGACAGTCCCCAACAAGGTCGTGGCGAATACCGGACCGTGACCAAGAGGTATTAGTAAAGGGTATCATACTATTTTTATTTTTTTGTTATGATACCCTACTCTGACGGGTTCATTTTTTTTTTTTCCTGTCTGCCAAATATAACTGATGGTAACGGCCTAATATCCCTTGGGCGGTCTGAGACAGTAAAATTCGCGACAGGCACTCTAACCAATACGCTAATCCAGACCTGGGCGCTTGGCAGCTTATTAAGACATGCTGTGATATCAGAATAAGAGAAGGAGTTTATGTGTGAATACAGTAACCGAGAAAACAATGGTCGTAAAAAAAAAAAAACTAAGAAAGTTGAAAGATCTAAGATAGTACATGAATATCCTTATGATGAATATTAAAACAATCGCAGCAAAGGGCAAATCCACACCAAGAGCCATGACACCCATACTAAGTAGTTGGTACTTGCTTGTCCTTCCAGTTTATAGCATGTAAAATAAATTGGCACTGAGTACATTCCAGCCTTTTAGAGTCAAAATATATATACTAATGAGGGGTTGAGTTGCTTGATGAACTGCTAGGGGTAACAGGGGAAGGAAGAGTAGTACACTACTGGAGTTTACTGCAGCAGGGTAAGGAGGTTTTGCATATGTAGGAGGCTTTGTGAGGCTTTGAGGTAGGCGTTTGGGCATAGTGAGAAACTAAATCCTCTGCAATAGCAACACAGAAGGGCCAGGATTCAGAAGGTAGTCTGCAATTAATAAAGACCCGTTGAGAGAGAAGATAGGAATTGATTGTGATAGTATCGAGAAGCCAGTAGAAGATCGGAGGCCAGTTCCATAAGCATTTCAGTTGTGTGAAATAGTAGCTCCCGTACTAGTCCACAATATCTACTCTCACTTTATACCAGTTGTAATTGTTTGTAATTACAGGTATTAGGACATTTGTCCGCTCCATGGTATCAAAAGCCTTACAAATTGCAGGTCCATTGCTGCTACTCTGTCAAGGCTTTTTCCACAAAACTGTAATCCTGTTTTCCAAATTATGGATCGTTGTAAGGAAGTAAACTGCACTCTGATCCTGCCATTATACAGCCAATACCTTTCCAGTACTACTAGCAGGGCCACCACAAAGCTCATTCCAAGGAATATTGGACCAGTCATCATGTAAGTAGAGTGGAAAAGCGGTTTTCCATACTCTTGCTGTACAACACCCCCCAATTCCCAAGTCTCTTAACCTTTCAAAAAGCGTAATTGATGGAAAGTCATTATCTATATAGAGGTTAAAGTAAACCTAGGAGGTTTTAGGTAGAGCTAATGCTAGCTGGTATACTAGTGATCCAGTAACCTTAAGATCACTATATTCAGTCTAAACTTATTAGTTTAAATTTCTAATTAAAATTCAAACCATAATAGCTAAATAGAATTACCTCAAACCTAGCAACAGACTCACTTCTAGAAGCATATATAGCCAATTATAGGTATATCCAGTATTACATAAGGCAAATACCTTATAGTTTTCTGTAATTAGCTTACTAGTGTAACGATCCCCTTTCAGATAGTTAGTTCTTGGCGACGGGGAACGATACTTACCTCTTCTTTCTCTTTCTTTCCTTGTCTTACGATAGTTCTAGGCCTCTGCCTATGTTAGCGATAGTACAAGACCTTTGTCTTCTATCGGAAACACCTATCGTAAGCTTTCTCTAACTCGTCTTCGTAACGAGTGCTTCTTGGCGTGATGATAAGGTTGCAATAAGGATAAAGATCGTAAAGGTGTTTTATATTCGTTAAAGTAATATGTAGGAAAAGTACTTAGAACAAAGCGTGAAGAACCTATCTTCCTCGGCCGCATCGGCCTCCTTATATAGTGTTCTTCCTGCCTTTAATCATGTGACCTAAAATGGTCACATGTGCAAAACCAAATCAAAACAAACTAGTCATGTGACCAAAGTGATCACATGCTCAAAACCCATGACCTTATAGTGAGGTCATGTGCAAAACTCATAAACCAATCATAACGCAATAAACAAGTCATATGACTCGACTGAGTCATATGCACGAAACCCATGACATCATAATGAGGTCATGTGCGAAACATAAATCATATGTGCAAGGCTTGCCTGTAAGGCATACTCGTAAGGCATACTCGTCAGGCACATGTCCCATGACTCATACTTGAGCCATGTGCGAAAGCATCACAAATCCCACACATAACTAATCATACAACCCGAATAGGTTATATGCGTGAAACAATGACATACCTGTGACTCATAACCATGTGTCACGTGAAAACCCTTTCCTTACTAAGTCACGTTCGTGACAACTAGGCATTCTATAGGTATGAAAGCTTTTTCCCCCAAAGCAAATCATCATTTCATCCACAGTCACATTTGACGCAGGTAGGTAATATTTTTAACACCGGTCATGGAGGATGTGATTGAGTGGTTTCAGCTTTTGAAACCACTCTGCCCAACTAAGCTGAATCATCGGATCGGATATGTGTAAAAAGTGCTTTTTCTGATAGAAGTGCTTTATTGATATCACTCAAACCAGTGTGGATCCCTCGCGCTCCTCCTTCCAGTAACGCCATACTCCTACTTCTCTCTGTGTGCCTAAATACAAAAGCAGCCCAAGAAAAACCTGTACTTTATCAGAAGTTACCTTTTTTTACCTCCTCCATCCTAGCCCTCTAGCGACTATCCATTCCCACTCTCTTTCCTTCATTGTAGCATACCTATTGGTAACTTCTACCAAGATACCAATTGTAATCTCATCCTAAAAGAGTTCAAATAATCAAAGTGGAGTGATTTCACTATCATTCCATGGCTGCAAAGGCTGACCAGTATGCTCAACTCGGGGTTGAAGTGGTCTGTAGCACTCCGGAGTAGCTTCAGTAACATCATGCTTACTGGATAGGTCTTGATTTCCCCTTTGCAATCACAATTTTTCTGCATCACATCTTGTGCTACCTCCAGGTATCACATTTGGCGAAAGCTGTGAAAGAGGAATTTGTGACTTCTTTGATCGTGGCATGAGGGAAACTTGGTATATCTTCTTAAACAATTTACTTTACATCTACATGTTATAAGATGTGACATTGCCATCTCTTGTCGATCTTTACTGAGTTTTTCTTTAGCATGCCTGTCGCGAATTTTACTGTCTCAGACCGCCCAAGTGATAGTACCCTATTCGTCACGGCCCCGTTGGGGACTTGTATGCCGTAACTTAACCAGCTCATCCGAAAACAACATACCTTTCACCGCTTAACAAGAGTTTGGGGAGGGGTTATGGTTTTTTAAAAAAAATCGTATTGAGCCCTGTCGATCATATATGTTCAAGGTTGACCGAGAGGGAGAAGAGGAAATGGAGGTCCACTCGGGATCACGTTTCTCGGATGTAAATATCACACATACTCGTACTGTGCCGCTGTCGCAAAGTTACCAGAAGCACACATTTCCCTTTCAATGACCCCTGAAATGAATTCGAAAAAGAACCAACTGTCTGAAATATCTAAATGTGATTTTTACTAAAAAAAAAAAAAAAAAACTTTCCCGAGTTGCAGATGAAGTACCGTACTATAGTAAATTATATCCTCGGAGCCATCGAGGATCAGTTACAATGCATCGATCACATTACGAGTACTTGTATCGTACAACCCAGTCTTGGCAGGCACTGTACTAGTACTGTACTGTGCCCAGAGCTCCCTAGGAGAATAATGATCAGTTTCTTAGTGAGCTTGAGGTAAAGCCTTTTTCTTCTTCTTTCTTTCCATAAATGCACGTTGAATTCTATAAACTAGGCCTGGAGATCCGCCCCGATCTTCATTGCGGTCCGGCCTCTTGAACCGAGGCATGTGGTTCGTGCGCTCTAGAACGTGCACTGAACTTTTCTGGCACGATTACTTGTACATTGGGAACGAAGCCGTTTCGGGTTGTTCCGGGAAAATGTGAATCATATGATACAAGTCTTTTTTTTTTTCCGGGCAATGGACGTTTTTGTCGACACTGTGTTGAGATTTCGGAAGAGGCATTTGATAGGGTTATGATAGTCTACCTCAGTTACACTTTAAATTATGACTACTAAACACATTTTTCAATTAAGGACCTACCGGTATTTGGATGTTCGGATATTGGTATGCGAAACTGGTGATCAAAAGAGGGAACCCCCCGAGATGGGAATTTCGTGGATTCTTTTTATTTTAGTGGTGCTTAAATAATATTATTGGTAGGAGTTTTTTTGTAATAATGGAGGATTAAAGTAGGACGTGTTGCGTGCAACCAAAAGTTAATATTTTGGTGAAGGCAAGGTGCCAGTGTCGCTCCCGCTTTGGAGAAAAGTTTAAACTCCGGGAGTAAGTTAGTCTAAAGCTTCAATCTTAGTGATTCAGGAATGTGACGGGGGGTGCAATCTCAAAAGACAGATATCAAAACAGGCTCTAAAAATGCAAATTGACCTCTATCCTGTTTTGCATATAAACCCAACAGACAAACCCTCTTACAAAGTGGGACCCTCATCACTACTAGTGTACGGTAGTCTTTGCAGATGATGCACGTTTTTGAGCGCACGAACCAGATGCAAGGGATCATTGTTGAATGCGAGCTAACTAATTTTACAGCTAATCGCAACAGTCGGTGTATTGAGTGAAGCAAGTAAAGTCGGCCTCCGACCCCAAAGAAAAAAGAACCCATAAACGCCGTTGCATATGATTATCTTCTAGATCATCATTGGCAATTGATGTTTTGCGATTATTTCTGTACCTCAGCTTCGACGCCGCGCTGGGAAGTCTTTCCTTTATCATGTTGGTTTTCAAAGTCAGCTGTCTCTGGGTTAGCAAGATCTAAGACGGGAGAATACGGAGATTCAGGAAACTAGCATTTTGCCTGGGTATTGCCAGTCAGACCGGAAACAGCGGCCCCAATGGTGCCGGTAACTCTGTTGGCTTCACCGATAATTAGTCCATGTTCCATGCAAGGCAATGCCACAACGGTAGTGAAGTATGAAATATTTGTATAGCTTACCAACTCCCGAAGTAAAATCTTTTAGTTGTCCGGCAGCCTCCTGCCCTTGGCCCTCGGTATTTTGATCCCTGCCCTCACGTTTAAGGCTATCGGATCCCACGACATTGCCGACAAATTCCTTGCCGCTTCCAATGACTTGGTCGGCCTTTCCGTCTCGGCGGTCCTTGTTGTCGACAGTGGCTGCGCCGGAGGAGGAAAGATTGAAAGGTCCAGCCTTGGCGGCGGCACGAGAGGCATCATGTTCTAGCTCTGCATGGGCCTTCTTGTCTTCAGCCTGGCGTTGATCAACAGGGTTCCCTAGGCTTCAAGTTAGAGATGGCTATCTGCAGTGGGAAGCCACGATAATACTGACCAGTCAAACTGCCAATGACATTCTGAACAGCCGCAATGCCGCTGTCGGCGTAGGACCTAAGAGTGGAGGGTTGGCTATCTCCAGTTCCAGACATTCGGAATGTTTGTTTATTTGTTTCCTTGAAGAGAGAGTATTGAGGGTGGGCAAAATGGTGTTTTTTTTGAGGAAGTCAAGTGTGATTATGTGCATGTTGACGAGGAGGCCTCTAGTGGGATCCATCCGAAGCTTTATAGAAAAAAAAAATCCTGGAGCTTGGGATTATCTGACAGATAAACCTGGCGATATGATTCTCCCACAAGAAAACATTCGTTCCAGATAGAAGTTTAGGACAAAGAAAGACGTGCTCTATTGTGACATCATGCCCATTATACTACGTCAGCCAAGCCTTTGGCACCTCTCCCGAGTGAGATCCTGAAGACGATCACCTCAACTCCTGTTTTGCAGGTACTTTCTATACCACAGCACGTTTTTTATATACCGGGTGGCTTTTCAGCTTACCGCTGCTGCTCGCGTTAGTAAGTTATGGTATAACTAGATCTGGGAAACAAGCTTTGAATCCACGAGCATGAAATGCTCTCCATTTCTGCAAACCAGAGCTCCTGATACCACCAACTCCTCCCTCCCCTATCGAAGGAAATCCCCGAACCATGGCATTGCTACAAGTAGAATCTCTCCAAAGCCACGCATCGTGCGGCACGCTCCCCCACATGAGGGTCATTGGAGGCCTAAAGCCACATGAACGTGATCTGATGGAGAGCATCTTGAAAACGTCACCCCTCAAGGCCTTAGAAGCAGCCCAGGAGACTTATCACCTTCGACCAAGACCAGAATTACATAGCTAGCTCATTCCACTATACGAACTTCATCAGAGACTGCCGGCACGTATCGAGCACTTATCCCTGTTTCACACATTCTACTCGAGTAGTATGCGAGCCCTCCTGACCCTAATGAAGTATGACGCATTCAAGTCTCATCGTTCCCATCTTAGGTGTTTGTTATGCTAGTTGTACGAGTAATGCACGGCCCTAATAGGTAAACTACCGGATAGCGAGAGGGGGTGTGGTAGGCTATAGTTCAAGGAGGCACTCGAGTGCTTCAGTATAAATTTATATTATTGAAATGGCAAAGATAGCAGTGCGTTTATGGGTCAAATGTCGATAGGCCCAGTTAGGACCGGCGAGTTGCTTCACTTGGAATGTTTCGCGGAATGAGGTATCAATCAGGAAGGGGTTTTGAAACATCAATATGGGTTTTACTGTGTAGTTAGGCCTTGGGTAAGACTCGAAATAAAACACGGCATGAAAGAAGCACCCCCTATGAGGGGGTGTAACCGGAAGAGAGAAAAAATCCATCTGCCACTACCAGCTACCGGAACATCGTATCATACTGACTGTAGAGTATGATGTTCAAGCATTGGGAGTGAGAATTCGGGCGGAAAGCGTTTTGCAATGTGTCTTGTAAGTTAGGGGACCGTTGATTACGGCACAATCCCGCTATGATAGAACGTCCAGAATTTCCCCTTCGGATTAGGGGAGGGGGAAAAAGCACAGAAAAAAAAAAAATCCTTCAGTCCCCAGCTGAGACAAATAAAAAGAAATTAAATTTTTTTATGACAGAACTTACCAGGAGAGGCAACTCCAGCGTCCTAGCGGTTTTCACAAGTAGCCCTTTTGCACAGAAAGGTGCCCGTAGCCATCATTGGTACCCTCGTATCATAACAGATAAAAGAGGTCATGGCTTCTCACTCTCTATATCAAAAATTTCAACGACGAAGAACTCGGCCGTGTAAGTTCCGCTTTGCTCCATGAGATAAAAATCAGATCTCAACAATCTAACTGCAATGAACTACCCCCTGGGACGGTTGGTGGTGATGGTGGGTGGTGATGACAATTGATTTTGTAAAATTCCCCCAAGTCGTAGGATTTCTTTGGCAGGCCGTGTTACGGGTGTGTTGTAACATGCACCCACCTCTTGCAGGAGATATATCATACAACGCATAAACTTTAATGCTATGGCGGGGAATACGTTCCCGGTGCTAAGACCCGCTTAGTCTCGGCATGCTTTGACGCTCAAAATATTCCATGAACGATATAGGTATAATATCGCTAGATTTTATGACTCACGGCCAACATAAATTATCCATTCAAGAGTTCACATTCAACAAACCTCACCAAATAGCCACCACCATTCACCAAAACCATCGAGCTTTGCCAATCCGACCCCAAGCCCAACGGGCATTATCAAACATCAAACCTTAGAAAGAAAAAAGACATGCCCCAATCAATTCGTCCTATTAAAAGAATCCCCACAGTAGACGCCTATAACCAGTGGGCAGAAGTAAGTGCTTTTCCCGCAGGAAGTACAGATGATGCCAACATGTAAAAAAAACAGGTCTACGATCACGATGGGAACATCCTCCAACTTCAGGATAACGAAGCGTTCGATGCAATCGTCCCGGGACTCTTAAGCACCCGTCCACCCTCCAGAATACTGGACCTGGGGTGCGGCACGGGCCGCAACACCGCCAAACTCTACCGCTCGCTCCCCGAAGCAACAGAGATTGTCGCAATGGACGTGAGCGAGAGAATGATGTCCAAGGCAAAGGCACGAATTACTGCCGAGCCCCAACGGGATGTAGTGATCACCTGGGTACTCCACGACATTGACGCGGATTCCCGGATTCCCCGGGAGGCGAGGGGGGTTGATGCTATTGTCTGCACGCTGGTTTTGGAACACCTTCAATTGGATGTGTTCTTTGGAGCTGTGAAAGAGGCTTTGACGGAGGGTGGATGGATGTACTTGACGAACATGCATCCTGAGCAAGGCCTGTCTTCCAGAGCTGGATTCGTGGCAATGGAAGGGGAAAAGGAGGTCAAGATTCAGGGGGTGTCTTTTAATCATTCGATTGAAGGTATTTTGAAGGCTGCTGGAAAAGTTGGCTTGCGGTTGCTGGGGGAAGTGGAGGAGAGGGGCGTCGATAGTGCCGAGCATGCGCAGCGGCTGGGGAAGAGGGCAGACAAGTGGATTGGAGTCAAGATGCATGCTGCCATGACATTTCGTTTGGACTTAGATTAAGATACGACACCTGGTATTTATAGTAAACCATGTTAGAATACGGTAGATGTAATTTAATCTATCTATGATATATACCATTAATACAGTGTAAGGTGCATCCAATACTTTCATGTATCGTAACTGGAATAAGGAAGCTTCACGCTAAGGCGTTATAGTTGCCCTTCCCACTAAGGTCTGTTGTGTTTTTCACATTACCTACCCGAGTGGAGGGCGAATCTGGTGTTTTTCAGGGTGGTCCCCCCTGTTGAAAATAGCTGCTCGCCATGCCCACGACTACGACCACCACCCAACATGTTCCGAGCATGCTCGGCATGATTCCCAGACAACTGCCCGTCCATCTACCCGTTCATTTTCCGTCCGTTTATCCATCCGCCCGTTCATTTATTCGTTTGTTCGTTCATTCACCTGTTCGTTATCCATTGGCACATCTGTTCGCCGGCACCACTACCCATCCATTCGCCGGCACAGCTACTCACCTGTCCGTCAACTATCGGTCCTTTTGTTGCCCATTCATTCGCCTCCGCGCATATTCGATGTACATTCCCGGGGCCTGCCGTTTGTTCGTTCCCGCCTGTTCGTTCCCCTCCCACCACTTGCTTTGTTGTGGCAGACGTCCTCGTTGTGCGCTTTGGAAAAGCGCTTCCGGCGGGGAAGGATACAAACGTCAAGGGAGTTGTGGCCATCAGGAGTCTTTGTTCCTGTATTTCCTTTGTTAGTGTGGGAAGAAGGATGAGTGCGGGAGGTCAAGGGAAGCACGGAAGGCAGTGGGAGCCCGGGAGGTAGCGGGGGAGCGCGGAAGGATATTGGAGAGTCTTTGCGGAGTCTATTGTTTGTTTTTTCTTTTGTTAGCACAAGAGCACACGAGATGGAATGGAGTGGGGGGTGTGAGAGATACCGCTATGTGGCGATGGGGAAAGGGAGGAGAGGAAGGATAGCTGATCTTTGTCGTTTATTTATACTCCTGTCTTTTCCTATCGGTTAGTTTAGTTGAGAGAGTTCTTGAGGAAGCGAGTTGTTAGAGAGAGAGAGAGAGAGAGAGAGAGAAAGACAATTTTTCATACCCCTCTTTACGTAGTTGACTGCTGCCTAAAAGTCTTGGCGTTTTGTTTTGGCCGAGTGATAGTCTGTGACTGCGGACCCTACCCCCCCCTCCACGGTAACAATTATCGTTGATTTACTACTCCGGACAGTTATCATTTTTATTACTCCCCCTGCCCAATGAGGGGAATACTAGACGTCTTAGCGTGGGGTTCAATTATTCCAGCTCCTACGGTAAGTACACAGCTTCTTTTGTGCTTTTCGACTATTTTCCCCTTTCTTTTAAGCTTCCCAAACCCAATGGTTTAGGTTCGGAGTCTTAGCTTCCCGGAAGAACTCGCACCGAATTCTCTCTTCATGGCCCAGCAAATTATCATGCCCCATAACAGCCCTCAAAAGCGCATTCTCCTCACTATGCCATCTCAGCGTCAAAATCAGATGCGTGTAGGCAAATACCGAAGCGTCGAACAGCCCAGGGTTACTGCCGCCAAAGAACCACATATGATTTCCTAGAATCGTAGAAATAGCTTGAAGGGCAGCACCAGCATCGGCATATATCTTGCGCGGGTCAAGGACTCCTCCGGGATGGGCTTGCAGTAGCTGTTGCCGCGCAGCAGCCTTCGTCTGCCGCAGGAGAAAGGAGGAAACGGCAGAAACCGAACTCCCACAGTACAATACGCTGGCCAGATCCTGCGAGTTATTCGGTTCGAGGTAGAGGGAGTATAACTAACACGGCACAAATGCGCATACAAGGTCAACCCAGTAATCCCAACAACGGCACCAGGGGCCGAGAGTGTGTGTAAGAGGGTCAAGGGGGATTAGAAAAGCTACCCAAGCATCCCTCAACTGAGAGTTAACCAACGCCAGAAAAGCCTCCGCCCGAGCACTATCCATACCCACCATCCCTTCAAAAGAATACCCATGCTTCTCGATCCATGCCGCAAGTTTATTCGATGGGACGACCGCTAGCTCCATGGATTCGGACATGGACCTCCGCTGTGAGATCACGAAAGGTAGCGCACCCGTCGGCGAAGCGTGATTATTTGACGGGACCGTTTTAAACTCGATTTGATTGAACTTCATATACGCCTAAACTCCACCAGCAAAACCGAGCCGCTAAAGATCAGCCGTCGGATTCTTTTTTTTTTTCCCTTTATTATAGTATTCTCATTTTTTCGAAAAACAAAATAAAATAAAATAATGAGGTTAAGGTAAACGAGGTAAACGAGGTAATAACATGAGGGATTTCTTTATACCTGCCATTTCAAACAGCCCGGGTTGAAGCTCGGGTTACCGGAGACTGCATCCTCGGACGTGGTGAAGACGTACAGTGATGGGACGGCGTCAAATGTCGGGCATCGGGAGGGGAGTGAGTTCGCGGGGTAGGTTAGGAGGGGGAAGGAATCGAAGAGCGTTTTCAAGAATTGAGGTATTGGTAGCGAGGCCATTGAGGAGGTGGATGGGCGGTTGACTGATTAGTCGGGCCCTTGTTTTGGTTCCTGCTTTCTTTTTTCCCCGTTTGTTTCAGCAGGTTTGGTTGTTCGCCGGTGATTTGCGGGACAGAGAAAAAGGTGTTTAAATCTAGGTGGGTGACTAAGCAGACATAGAGTATCACTCTGTTCACAACGATCTCTGTGGGTCCACCTCAAACTATAGTGCAAGTATCGTACCGTCTGAGCAGCAATGGTTAGTTAGTGGCCAGCTATCAGCGGAGAAGAGTGATGAGTATTCTAGTGAGGCCTTTCTTAGCAAACCCACAAAAGGTCGACAACTACTTATCACCAATGGAATAAACGAGCTACAGGCGCATAAAAAGATAATTTTCACACCTAATTCCGGTTTCCAATCATCAAGGTTATCCTTCGATATTATTTTCCATCGCGACCAAATTCCAGGCGTTGCCAGACTTCTCCGACTCAACCTTGCTGATGGCATCCAGGCACTGCGTTTTTTCCCATCACAAAATATCACTTGGCCTAGCAATAGAGAATGCTCAAGAGTTCCACAGTGGTAGGATAGCTTACGGCCATATAGAGACTTCCGTTGCACATTCATCATCGCTACAATTTTCTTCAACAGCTTGTGTTATCCCCCCATCTTACTTTCCTTTCCTCTCTTTACTCACCTCTCATTCTCCTTACTTCCTTTTTTTTTCTTCCCTCTTCTACAACTTCAATCATCCAGCATAACAATTATCAGTTTCACCACCCCATCCTCTACACTGTCCTTTCTACGATAAACCCACTGGGAATCTCAGTATCTTCCCCCGTGGGGAATGGTGCCTGTGTGAGGGCTCTGATACAGTGCTTTAGCCATGTGTCGAGGAGTTACAAGTTCCCCTTCATACTATCATAGGTCCGGCGAGAGACACAATGAAATGCTTGTATGATACTTTTCCCCTTCACGCCACCGTACTGTGGGCGTTATTTGCGCCGTCGGGGCACCTATCATAAAATATCACTCGGTATGATCGGTGGATAAGATGTGCAAGGTGCAAGGGTAGGAAGATGGCACATAATTCCGGATCCCAGCGAGCACGGAGGGGACAAATATACCGCGCGAACTTATCATCAGTCACTCCCAATAATCCACCCGATACCAAGAATACTAACCTACCAGGGGGATGTTCGGCACGACCGTCGTTTGAACTGATGGTCGCCTCAAAAAGCGTTTCGCGCGCAGCGATTCGGAATGGACCAATCACAACCCGGAATGGTGGATCATGTAAGCTGCCTTTGGGGGGCATACTATTGTTCGATTTGAAATCGTGTGTACAAAACGAGATTTCGAACGATGGTGTTCAGACGACTTGTGTGCCAAACCGCCCCTGAATCCTTCGTCAAGTGTGGTCCGCGAAGACATCATCTCGGCACCCACTGAAGGTGTGTTAAAGGTCGACTAGTAGCGTCTTGAAGGGCCATCATAGGATAAGGATTCAATTCTAGTTGAAGTTCGAACCCATCTGACCAAAGAAGACACCATTTTTATAGCGTGCCAAAACGGGGAAGGGGGGGGGCAAGACATCTCTCTCGATGTACTCAGTGACTTCCGCAAAACTCTCCGAGGCCGCGTAGCATGTCCTGGAGGCCACACGCCCAATTTCACTTCTTATGCCGTTAGGCGCGTATCAGTATCATCATCTCCAGTGATTTTCGTGCACAGACTCGAATACTATATCGAACCCCTCGTTGGTGATTGTGACCCCTTCGAGGCTTACCATACAAGTCTCGTCGTGATTCCCTATCCGAGGGCTAGATGGGGGGTTATCTATCAGATAGAGATTGTCAATCAAGGCTGGTCTTTACGCACTTTCCAAATTCTATTATTTTACCTCCCTCTCTGCAATCCTTGATAGCAATAACTTCCTCTCCCCAATTCAGCCTAACCATTCCCCAGGTGCCAGCATTAGTCCGGCATCCGTTTCCTCGTTGTTTGAAGCTTGGCAACCGCATGGCCAGATAACGGGCTGGCGGGGAAGGCTGGTGTATGACGGGTGATCACAGCATGAGTATCAGGAAAAGAGCGCAGAAACAGCACTTTAAAATCGATCCGATCCATCCGTCATTTTCCCACTCGGCAATTTAAAAACTTTTAGAAGAGAAATGAAGTGTGGAGAGGATAGGCTTGAGTGAGGTGAAATCAGGAGCACGGAGTAGGGAGTTGGCGTAGGTTTTAATGGTTAATACCAAGTATGAATCCAATATTTAGCGACTGTGGGATTTCTGCAGCCAAACTATATACCGAGCCCCATCCTCCAATCCCTCTATTAACACATTCTGCTAGAATTGTGCACGTACAAGCAAAATGTAAATACATGCTTCTACCAAGTGGCAGTCGAGTGGAGGACCCGTGGCGACTATAGGCAGATGGAAGAAATCAGCATTCAATCACGCAGTTCTAAGAGGGGTAGTAGTTCCACCCCTTCCTCGGCATGACAAGACAGTAAACATTGAGCTCTCTCCACTTTCCTCTCCACTCCCCACCGACAGAAATTCCCCCTCCCTCGAGTCATCACCCAAGTATTCCACCATCATTAGCCTGACAGTATCCCTCGAAGCCGTCAGCACAGTAATGAGGAGCAAGCAGGCCCAGTAGCGATGCCGCATTCGCGGGGGATCTGGGAGTCCCCTAGTGTGCCACCGGCACCTTAGAGATGTGTGACCTCGGATAATAATATATATGCCTTGGGCACATCGATGCATAAATTTAATCCAAGACTCTAGCTCTCCTGTCAGAGCATATCTATGGCAATTCCCAAGTCTCTCTATCTGGTCAGCATTGTCTGCGAGGACAGAGACTGCCAAGTTAACAGAGCACAATAATGTGTAGTTCAGACAGGGAGCCCGGAAATACCAAAGTGCCAGAGATGTCGGGATTTCCGCAAAGCAGGGAGTAGACAAACGGCTTCCATTCAACTATAGTAAATGATTTGGCTGGATAATGTACGATACGATATGCTAACCATTGGCAAACCCGAGGATAAGATGTTCCCCCAGCTCGCGTAGAAGACAATACCAACCTCTGTCCAGCCACCAGTAGCAAGCACCATTAGGATCCTTCTTTTGCGCTCACTCAATTCATAGCCTCGGACCCACCACCATCCCAAATGGGCTGCGCAACCGCTTTATTATGATACTACCAGCGCCCCGTTGTCAAATGAAAATTCTGAAAAACCAAAGTCAACATCAAGTAGAGTGTCATTTTGTCCACCGATCTCTATCAAAACAATAATAGCGATACAAACTGCACATATATACAAACATCCAGACTCAGTGAAGCCACTCATTCCTGGCCCAATAATGAAATCCATACCTCAAGAGACCCGCACCGCAATCCTCGGTACCAACCACCCTTCCAATGCATTCCGAACAACAGATTCTGTTGGGAATGGTAATGATGGAATTGAGGGTTTGAGGGAAGGTGAGGGAGAGAGAGGAGACTTGGAGGTCTTGTCAACTGAGTAATAGGGTGAGCAGAGATTAGAAGTAGAAGTACAAGAGAAGAAGAAAAATTTCATGCCGTATCAGGAGCTGACATGCAATGCTTGTCGGATATCTCCAAAAAATTCTGTACGCACTCGTACGAGTGAGTGCTGGTGCCCCGGATATCAACGCGGGCACGGGTGCAAGGACTAACGTACTCGAATAGAGAAGGAAAGGAAATTTTTTATATGAAAAATGAAAAGAGAATACGAAGAGCCCAGTACGGTAAACGGGGAAGATATATTTGACATAACGAAAGTAAGTGCAGCACCACAAGGTATGCAATAGACTACAGTTACAGTATCGATCGAGATCCTTCACCCCAAGCGAAAAATATAAAGAATGAGGAGAAGCGGAAACCCCAGCCTCCATACGAGCACTGAATAGAATATACCAAAACCCAGTCTTAACTTAATCAATTGATACAGTACAAACAAAAATAGATATCGCAAGTAACCTAAGCCAACTTGAAATAAAATGGTATGATATGAGCGAACCGAATCGATGAATACGAAAGCGAAAGGAAACTGTGATTGTAACTTGAAAAAGAAATAATCACCAATTCCGTTTTTCCAGAAAGAAATGGAAAAGGAAAAGGAAAGAAAAATGCAAAAGACATACCGGTAACTTAAAGGCCGAGACAGGATAGGATATTCCCAGGTAACCGAAAAAGAAAGGTATCGAAAGAAAAAAAGTTTTTGGAAGAAAATTTAAAAAGGAAAAAAAAAAAGAAAAAGGTAAAGGGAAAGAAACAAACTAACCAATTAACTTGACCTCATCCTGACATGACCAGTACGCACCGTTTCCCTTCAAAAAAAAAAAAAAAAAAAAAAAAGAGTAAAGCGAAATCCCCCTAACTAAACCAAGAAATCTAGTGTACACACACACAAAAGCAACATTTCCCAAACGACGACCCAAGGAAGAAAGAGCAGAGAGACGGGACTTCAAGTCCCAGCATTCTTCCTCTCAGAGTCCAACGTCCCACTAGCATATCCATCGTCCAAATCATCCGACAAGCCAGCCAACCTCTTCTGTAGAGAATTACAAAAGTCAATGACCCTCTTGCAGTCATCCTTCTGTACACCGGCTCGCTTGGACACGTTCTTCCCGCCGATCCAAACTCTAAGCATGCCCGCGGCCTTATCAACGCTCTCACCGGCATCCGTAGCCCAACAAACGTCGCTAGCAATGAGCCGATTGAGCGTCTTCCAGATAGCCACAAAGCCAAGCAGGCCAAGCTTGTTCTTAACGTCGGCAGATTCCCGGCCCCGCCAGTCGAGTTCGCTGAATAGGCGGATGGCGCCGACACGGGAGCCGCTACGAAGGAGGTTCAGGGCCATGGCGCAGCGGATGGCGATTTTGATGTCAGTTGTTACGGCTGTGGGGACGTGAGGTCTGGATACCATGATTCGGGGAACACTATTGGGGGTTGGTTCATGGGGTTGGATATCTTCTTCGAATGCTTTGAGTGCTGCGCGGAGAGTTGTGCCATCATCTTTGTCTTCCAGCATTGCTTTCGTGACTAAAGTTCGGAGTTGGGCTTTGCTGTTTGGTGGAGCAACGTTCAACGCGGCTTCGAGGTCTTCGGTGATTCCGCTTCGGATGACTTCGGTGTTCCGGGTTTTAAGGTTTGCGGCAAGGACTCCTTGGAGGACCAAACTAGAATACCAGGCGGCAACAGCATCCAATGGCGAACGGACTGACTCATCCTCAACAACGGTGTCCATGCCTTCATCGTAGCCTCCGCAATTCTCACCAGTTCCCCTGTCGTAAGCAAGGTTGTAGGCTTTCTGAATGATCTTGCTGTGAAGGACTTCGTTGGGGTCGAGGTCAAGGAGACGGGCAAGATGTTCGGGAAGGCTCTCGGCCGAGGAATCGGTATTATTCAAACTCTTTTGCTGGACGTTTCTTGCCTCGAGCCAATAGTAGTTGGCAAGCCAGTTAGCAAAAGACTCGAAGCTGCTTCCAAGATCCCAAAAGAGTACTCTGATATGGAGGGCATTAAGCATCAAACGACTTGGAGTTGCCGGTAAAGTTAAGGAGGCTAAGAGGGTAAGTATAAGTCTTGAGTGAGTGATAGTAGCATCGCCCCCGGCAAGTTGAGCATCCAAAGCAATAGACCACGCCTTGATCCGAGCAGCTTCATGCTCTTCGGTCATGCCAGTAAGCAGAGCATATCCGTTCCATCCGATGAGCTTGCGGAGACTAAGCTTCAAAGTTTTATATGCTAATGCAGCGATTTCGAGTGCAAAAGAATGACGGGGCACCCAAACCGATTGTATAGCAGTAAGCCATGCGGTGCGGCGAACCTCCAAGGATGAAGCCAGAGATGGGACAGGTGATAGAGCGGCATTGTTGGGTGTGTTGGACTTTGGCTTTCCCTTGGTCTTGGAGTCGAAAAAGCCTGGGACGATGACATATATAAGTGCCGAAACGAGAAGCATCATCTTGAAGGCCAACCAAAATAGGTGACTCCCAGCTGTGGCTGAGGACTCGGGGATACCAAAAATCTGCATTATCGCGGTGGGGAAAGGGATGAGTTGACGGGTTCCATTTTCTTGCTCCTGCAGCCCATTCGCAACCATCAAACCCGCCAAACTTCCCACCATCAACCTGCTCATCAGGCCGCCACCGGGCCCACCACCACCCCTGGATCCACTACCCGATTGGCCAGCGCCTCCCATCGAGCCGCCCATGGTAGCCAACTTCTCGAACGCTGCCAACCGGTTCTTCAATTGATCGTTCTCATCTTGCAGTCTCTTTGTTCGTTTCTCGAGGTGCCTGATATATTCGGTAGCCTTCGCCAAGACGGTAGCTTTATTGAGCTTGTGTGCAGGTGTCAACCCTTCGAGGTCTTCTTCGTCGTCGTCTTCGCCCAGTTTTGAGGTGCCGGCCATAACGCGCAGTGAAGGAACCGAATCTCTCAGAGCCGCAATCTTATCATTAAGATTAGTCCGATATCGCTTCTCAATCATATTGTGTGCCGTTTTCTTTGGCTGTTGTTTCCGGCCGGCGGCGGGTGCCGGGGCCGACGAGCCACCATCCGGTGCTACATCATCAGTGCTAGTCTTTCGCTTTTTCGGGCGAGGGATTGCATTATTGTCATCGCTATGCGAATCGTGGGCACGGGAATCTGGGCTGCTCGAGGTACGATGCGATGATGAGGGCGACATGTTGTTTACCGGTTCCTGCGATTGGGGTGTTTGCTGTGGTCGTTGTTGTCGTTGCTGGGTGACTTGCTGAGCTTGGGGAGGGGATTGCCATCCGATAGATGTAAAATCCTCCCGTTGCTGAGCTTGCTGAGCTTGATTTCTCCATGCCAACGGAGAATATGACTCAGGGTTACTCCCCTGAGCTTGCCCTACCGACCCAGAACCGGCGTAGTTAGTGAAGTCGAACAACGAATCGTTCTCCTTCCCGAATGGATATGCCCCCTCCAGCGCGGTCTGTGTAGCGGGGTCAATTAGAGATTGTGTGGGAGAAATGGTTGCTTGTTGGGGGTTTCCGAAATAGGGGCGAGGGGGCGTGTCGTTCTCAACTTTGATATAGTCATTGAGCGGTGTAACTACTCCACCCTGTTGCTGATTCGACGGTTGCCCTTGCGATGACATGAGGTCCCAAGCCTGATTCGACAGGATCCCCTCATCAATGAGGGCAAAGAAAGCAGGGTCGTTGGGATTCCAGGCAACGTCGTAGTCGAAGCGAAGCGATTCCGGTGAGTGAGAGGTAACGGAGCCGGATGACAGGCCCGGAGGGGAGGTAGAATTTCTGTTATCGATAGGAGAAAGCGATAAAGAGGTATCAAGCACGCTAACAGGAGAAGCTCCTAGGCTATTATTAGGATTCGAACCCTTAACGTTGTTTGGGGTTGTATTGATATTGGTGTTGAGATTTTCCGGATCAGCTTCCAACCTCGCCAGAAACTGAGCGCAAGAATCGTAATCGAGATCCATCCTCGCAGAAGTGGTAAGAGGGGAGTCTTTTGAGCGGGGAGTGAAGAGGTAGGTTTAACGTGAGAAGGTGACAACAAGATGAAAAGCTATGGTCCAGTGAAAAAGTGTACTTGTTTGGACGAGGATTGCGGTGGACTGACGCTAGAGGTGAAGAAGGCGGGGGGTGCGTAGAGTAGAGTGTCGACCGGGGCGGAGTGCAACGCCTCCAAGTAAGAATGGCCCGAGGAGTGGGCTGACAGTAGCCTGATGTTCAGAGAAATTCGCGTGGTGTTCCGATGCTCTTCCAACCGCCCCGTCAAAAAGTCGCCTGTTCCCGACAACTGGCTCGCAAGTTGCCTACATTTCCCCCCCTGCACTCGAGCATTTTAGACTGCACATAGTCCACCCGAGTAGAGAGAATAGACCATTCCACTCTCTCTGAACGGTCCACTTTTTTTTTTTTTCCTATATACCCTTTGGCTACTTTTATCGACTCCATATCCCCCCTCGATCGAGTGAGTGAATGAATGAGTGAGTGAGTGAGTGAGTGAGTGAGTGAGTGAGTTCGGCGAAGGTACAATATCATAGCAGTCCTCGTTTCCTATTTTTGCCTCGGATAATTATATATCGTACGTTACCCTTTTCATTCTTCACGGTCATATCTCGCTACACCCTGATGTGTTTCTCAGGAACTATCCTTGGCTTATATCGCTGTCTATCTATCGCCTACTCGAGACACAAACAAAATTGGCATGCTCATTACACACAAGTATCATACCGTATGATACGATATGATCCGATACAATGTCCGGAAAGAAGTTATGGAACAGTTATCCGGGGTTAATCAGCTGGATAGATACCTGCCCTGGCGCAAATCGAAGGTTAGTGAACAGTTAATCTAGGTTTAACATTGCAAAGTAACCCCCGCCTCGTACGAAAACATCTCCTCGGGCACTTGTACGAATACTGGTATGATAGGTACAGGACGAGTATCGTGCAATACCCATATTGGCACCGTAAAAAACTCCCGAGATCCATCTTCCCCGCCAGCCTTGCACGAGTAGCCTCCGGATCCAGGGATAAAATGTCCCGAGAAGGTTCAGTTTTCTCCTGGCACGGAATAAGATCAGCCCACTGGATGTTTTAGGATCCCATTAACCGGTGGTATCAGCAAAGCCGCGGGCTGACGGACTGATCTCCGCTGATGATCTGATAGTGACAGGTTTCAAGAGCTTTTTTTTGCCGAGCTGTGGAATAGCACCACACAGATTGTCGATATCGCACAGGATATCGCACAGAATTGACGGTGAAGTCTACCGGTATCATGATAGCACACATGTATGTGTGATACCGGCATGTATCATACAAGTATGATACTGGTACGAGTATGGTAATATTATGATGCCGGTATGGTGGCGGTGTACTCGCGCAGTGTGAAACCTGGGGGGAAATAATACTTGCAAAAACCACGCGTTAAAAGACAAAATAAGTCTAGGATTTGCACCAGCGAGCCACAAAGGGTATTTTTTTTAGTTCATAATATTATCTCATTAAATTTTCTTTTAATTGTTGATTGCATTTTTAGATTTTAGATTTTTAGATTTTTCCTTGGTATGATAATAATATTATTATGGTATTTATTTATTTATTTATTCATTTTTCCTCTTTACTCAAGTAAAAGACACCTTGAAGTCTAGACTCTCTCTCTCTTTTTTTTTTTTTATCCTTTTTTTTTTTTTTACCCTTTTTTTTCTCCCCTTTTTTCCCTTTTTTTTTTTTTTTTTTTTGCCAGGGCTCCTCTTCCGGCAGCCTTCAATTGACGCTCCAGCCGCCCCAGGGCCGGGCCCAAATCCTCCACCCAACCAAAATTCATGAGCAACGACGATCCAAAGAATAATATCATAGGTTGGCTTACGCTCCCAGGGCTCATTTTTTGTTTTTTTGTGATCATATCATACGATTTTTTTTGTTTCCGCCTGTTGCGTTGTATCCTTAGCACGGTTAGTACTGGTACTCGTTCGTGCAACCCCCCCCTCCCCCGGAAAGACTTTTTTTTTTTTTTTAGCAAGGATCTTTTGTGGAACCAGTACCAGAGAGCAAAGGATAGACATCTCCTAGCGCTTACCAAATGAAGGTCATTTAGTGATCAGAAACTATGAGCTTCCCAACAAGGGGACATTTGCGACTTTTCAGCCCTCCACCATTGAAAACAACCTCCTTTTTTTGGAGAGAGACTAAAAAACAAAGCAATTGTATTTTTGTCGCTTTTGTCGTCGGCTGTGCACCGCTGTTTTGGGATACTAACATACTTACCGTTTCGGGGCGTTGGAGCAGAGGGATGTGAAAATGACGTCGAGGACCCCATAAAATCGCAGATTAGCGGGGTCCTCCTTGTCTCATTTGATCTCGGAGGTCGTCCCTGCGTAATGACGGCCCATTGATGGGGGCGGAGGAAGGCATGGTCGGAAGAACTCTACCTCAAGGCGAGAGCAAAATCAACTCCGCCATGAAATGGTGTAGTCTAGTGGTGCCGTAAGTGTGAGTGGTGAGTGAGGGTAATGAAAGTTGGGAGCAGGAAAGTGGAGTAAGTTAAGGTTATCCCACGTTGCCAATATCTCGCAGTTATGCTACCCGAGCCAGCGAGCAATTCTAAACCAATAAGGAGCATGCATGATGGGGTAGAACCCAATGCAACTCCATGATAATACCGTTATGATACCGGGAAATGGATTATCCCACGGCAGGGCAGAGTGAGCAGGAATACCGGTATCGTAAATTCACCTGTAGGGCAAAAAAAAAGGACTGCGCACGAACACGACACCAGCAGCAGGAAGATGTGGTTATTTTGCCAGTGCAATTGGTTCATTGCAAATCAAGCGATGAAGCCAAACCCCGAAGCGGCAAAAGTCTGTGGGGTGGAAGTTTTCTCCGGGGGTAACGCAGTCTCACGATGATATCAGTTCGCTAAGGGCCGCGATGCAAGAGGAATTAATAAGGACAAGATAGACAAGCAAACACGGTAAAGCCTTTTAAGCGGCTGCATGGAGAAATGCAAAGTCAGGGAAAGGGAAAAAAAGAAAAAGGGAAGAGAGGAAAAGGAGGATGAAGAGATGAACTGACAGAGTACTGTACTCGTACCCTACCAGCATTCAATTCCCAGCCAAGAGATGTACCCCAAAGAATGAATATATATGTACGATACAGTACGGTAACTCTTCTCTTTCTTGGGCTCGATACGCTGGTCAACGGGTCACGCGTAGAGAAAGTTTTCGATTCTTGCTCGAGTGCCTTGATCTCTCCTTAGTTCGCCCCAATGATTTCCCGACTGCTCGCGGTCACTTGCTTTTCTTCCTAGGTCTGCTGTACCCGTACTAATGGACATTCAAGCAGTAGTAAGTAGCCCCGGCAGCGTTATGCAGACGAGCTAGCCTTTCTCCCGACCTCTCATTCTCTCATCTTGGGCTTCAATATACTACTCGAGTATTGGGACAGGTAAGGGCGATGCATACCGCAGCGGGTACGAACTGTTGCGATAGCACCAGTACAGTATCTCCCCTCTACCCTTCTCAATGGCTCGTCGAGGGGAGAGAAAAGCCCACAGGTACCGGTACTATCCAGTCTCCAACAAGCTACGCACACCTAAATCTCCCGTAGCTCCTTGGGCATAAGTGATAGAGTGTAAAAGTATAATCTTGTATCACATTTTGGATTACACTCGCAAGAAGTGTTCGGAGTGTGGTACAACAGACACAGTTCCATCCGTCGGCGCTCCAAGCTCAGCCATACAGCACCAACCATCCACACAAAATCTCATTCGGATATAATTATTTTACTGAGCACCTTTCTGCCGGAACCACAGCAACATATGCCCGCCAAAAAGATCCCCAACCTGCAAGTACGGTGCAGTACAGTAGGGTAGCGGGCTCTTTGCTCTAATCCACTTACTGCTGCTGCTAACTCCAGCGCACAATGCCGGTGCATACATAAGAAAACAAGAAAAAGGCTACCCCCAACTCTCCCAAAAGCTAAAGCACAGCCGACCCCAGTAACCCAGCAGCAAATCATTGAAACCACTTTTGTCACTTCATCACTTTCCTCTCGAACATACTCGCCACCGCCTCACGAAAGCTCACACAAGGGGGAAGAACAGAACGGACCACAGACAGAGAGAGACAGACCAGAGAGAGTGTGCAAACCCGAGACGCGCCTGAAGCCGAGCTCCACATTTCAGAGTCAAATTTCTGAAATAATAAATAAGAATAAGAGGAATTCCACACACACACACACCTCCGCAAAAGGGAAAAAAGAAGAAAAGAAAGTTGCCGCGCTTTTTGAGACCCCACCGCGAGGGAAGGAAAAGGTCACGATGTCCGCTTCACACCTGACCGCCTCTGCTCCTTCTCCGGTCTCCATTACCAACACTTCCCCCAGCTCCTTCACCCTTCCCTCAAATACTCGTTCAATCCCCCTCGCACATCCACCCCATCAACAACCACCATCCCCAACATCCTCACCTTCCACATCCTCCCCCAAACATTCGCCTTATCACCCACAAGGTGCCCGCGATAGCTCTCGTCGCTCTAAATCAGAAACTCCTTCGCCGCAGAGATCCGTAGCGGAAATACCATCAATACAGACTCAATCCCCACCGAACCCCCACCAAAGCCACAATCACCGCGGCAACCGAACATCGAACTCCCCAATAACCAACCAATTTCTCATGCTCAGTGGCGAGCGACCTCCATCACCGTTAACGCTAACCTCCGCACTCGCACCCCCATCCGTAATGCCAATGACCGCCTCCGGCATTTCCGCAAACGCATCAGTAGCGAAGTCAACCTCCTCCTCACGTAGGTCACCAGCTGCAAGCTTAACGCTCTCAATGCTCCCCTCGGCTTCGGGCTCAATGGTACAGCCGCCCACCAGCGCTGCTGCCACGGCAGCTACATCTTCACAAATGTCCACTACTTCAGCTTACATCCACCACCACCAGGCGTACGCGCACTCGCTATCGGCGCAGCACAAGCTGCAATTACATCAGAAGGAGATCATCTCCCAAGCCACCAGGGCCGCCGGTATCCCCCCGCACCTACTCAGCACCGGACCGATGTCACCGCGGTTAATACCCCTCGGGTCGCCAGGCCCAGTCACCCCTCTTACGCTCGAAGACAACCCCGGTGGATTCTTTGCGTCGCATGCGGGAGCGCTGGAGCACCAACAATTGAACCAGCAGCTGACAATGGTTGCTTCTGGAGGCGCTATGCAGTCATGACATCAATCGAGCCCGGGAAATGGCAATAGGAAGAGGAAAAGGGAAGAAGGGAATGTTATCTCTATTGAGTCAATTTCTTGATGAAATTCTTGTTCTATCATATCATTCCTAGTTCTCTTACCTCTTCTTATCTGCACATTTGTCATTCCCATCCATTCTATCACTTTTCGTTTATTCCATTCTTGCATAGCCAGTAGTACTTATGGGTCAGGTTGAGGGGAGGGGAAAAGGCCGGTTTTATTTATGCAGGATAGCATAGGCGTACGGGTTTTTTATTTCATTTTTATTTATTTCATATTACTTTTTTATCTATCCGTTCAATTCTCCCCATCTTTCCAAAAAAATATATCTCTAACGGCGCAAAAAAAAAAAAACCGAAACGAAACAAAAAAGAGGGCGATTTGAGAAGCAATCAATCTCTCTGCCTCTCTGCCAAGAAAAAAAGAAGAGAAGAAAAAAGCAAAGAAAGAACGAACAAACAAACAAAACAGATTTTTGTACTACAAAGAAGCTATGATATGTATATGTCCAATGGTTACTCTTTTCCTGCGCCTGAACTACTACAACAATCTTGTATATACGTTCCCTCTCTTCACCCCCCCTTCTCCTTCCAATGTTCAATTCTCTCATCTTTGTTCGTCCATTCCATCTCATTCTCTCCACCTTGATATCTATCATACTACGATTCATGTTTGTTAAAAAGTAGCTATACACAGCACAGTACTCGTACAGCACAGTATCTGGTCCATCATACATAGCTCACATCATACCCAATCCAATCCAGTCCGCGCGGTCAATTGTTACATATCGGTATCCAGGAGCTACAACATGCCCACCGCACTCACTCAATCCATAATAATAATATTATAAAAATAAATAAAAACACCACCAATCCACCCACACATCCAACGCGAAAATGAATGCGCGCACACACACACTCCACTCTCTCCATCCAACTCAACTCAGCTCAACTCAATTCAATTGCTTTACATTTCCATTCACGGCGGGTAAGTTATATATAAAAACGAAATTAAGTCATTACCTGGGGCGAAATACGGATCAGTACTGCCAGTAGTCTACGAGTACAGCGTCCATCATGCCTATGATACGTACAAGTACCTACCTCTCTGGCCCGCATACATACATACATACATATATACATACATACATACATACATAGTACAAAAAAACCTCTCAGCCATCATCCCCACGTATCCGCGTATTAGGGGTGGGGGGAGGGGGGAAACGCAGAGAGATCTTTTACTTTTACGGTAGAAGGCGGTTTTGACGATCATTGCAAAGGCAAAAAAAAAAAATTCTAACCAGTCGATTGATCACTGCCCCATCGCCCCACTGGTTCACAATACTCGAGATGCGTGGGCGGGTATCCATCTACAAGGTATTTGGTGGTTATGATGATGGTGGCGATGAACATCATCCTTCCCTCGGCGGACGGTTAAAAATCGTACAGTTTGTTCCATCATGGAGAGGAAAAAGACATCATTGTGCTTTTTCGGTCTAGTCTATGGGGTTTATTTTTTCAAAGTTGAAGGTGGGGGGGGGGGGTTGTTTTCCAGAATTGGCGGGAGGATATATAATTTAGGGGATAGTGACATGACGTTTCGAGATTTTCTTTCTGGCGGCGTTCTAGTTTCCTCCTTCCCCATTTCTTGTACTAGTACTCTATGGTGCTGATACTACGGCACTTTCAAGTTTCTTGTAGACCATAAGTTACCAGAACTCTGGCTCATAATAGACATCTTGACCTCCAGAGGAAAAAAAAAAAAAAATATGGGGGGGTATCATAATAACATTACCATCATTGTAAGGCACATTAGTCTAACCACCCTTACGCACACACCATCAAGTCAAAGCGAACAAAACAAAACAAAAAAAAAAGCACCAATTCCTCCAAATCCTTACAGTAAACTTCATGAACCTCTTAGTCCAATCCTGTCCGCAGTAGTCCATATTTCACACCCCTCCCCACCCCACGCCAAGCTGTACTAGTACTAGTACATCCGCGCTAGGCGGAAACGGCGGAAACGGCGGTGGTCTCTCTCTCCCTCTCTTCGGGCGGAATGTTTGGTCATCATTAGTACGGTACTACTACTGCACTCACGATGATGGTTTGGACGGACGGATGGGTTAATTGAAATGTTACCGAGTTGGGTATTCCGCATGCGGCTTTTTTTTCTTCTCTCTTTCTTTCTTTTTCCTTTTCATTTTTCTTTTCTTTTCTGCCCGCTGGCTCGCTCGTGAGGCTGTAATCACTCTTGGTCTTATTGGCTGAACGAGCGTGGGAGCGAGCGTTGTCGGGAGGGGTGTTAAGTTAATTGCTCGTGGATGTGTGGATGCATGATATGTATGTATGTTTGTATGCACGGATATGTATATGTGTGGATGATATGTATGTACAGTACTCGAATACTCGTAGATGCTATGGCTGACAAGCTGCAGCGTTAGTTCTCATAATACTGTTTTTTATGGAATGGGCTAGCGGCGTCCAGTAAAAGTGATGTTTTCACCATCATGAGTAAGTAAGTAAGGCGTTGATTTTTGTTGGGGGAGAGAAGGAGATTGGATTCCTGAGAGTAAAATCATTGCTGGCTGGGTTTAAAGACGGGTAATTTAGTTGTAGCAGCAGACGACACCGCACCGCTACTCAGTTCCTTCCCTTTTCCAGCCCGGTAAAAAGGTACCGTGGCTTACCTCACATCACCTCCCTCCACAGCCAGAGAAGAAATGGCCACGCTAATAGTGCAATATGTGCAAAATTCCATCCACAACCGACACCAGCACGTTTTGACCCGTTTGTGGGCCGGGGTATGCACGACTGTGTGCCCGTAAGCAATTGATCTCCGAGCATGATATCACGCCGCTATGATACCCACTACGGTACCCGCAATTAAACGACAACGACCAGATCGGCATAGCCAGGATAAATTTATGACATTTACACGACACCAAGATTCGAGCTGAATTCTGGCCTGGCGGTATGCAATAGCGGTTGTGTTCACAAACGTCATTCAATTATCATACGAATTGTCGCGGCCGCACAAAAGAATGTTTCGTTAAATTTTGCCGTAGGATTTTCCCATTTTTCGTTTTCGTCCCGTTCGGTAGGAGTCTTTTTCATTTTTTGTTTTCTTATTTCGTTTTTTTATTTTTTTGGCGGTGAGAGGTTGGTTTATTGGTGCGCTTTTTCCATGACAGTAGGAATACTCCGCTGGGCGGTACAACTACAGTATCGTCATGGGTAAATTTAGGCTGGCTGCAGTGGCTTAAGGCGGTTGTCTGTCCAGCTTTTTCGTGCTTAGATGCTTGTTTCTCCGCTCGCTGTGGCATCTAACCGGTAGGGTGCTTGTGTTCTACTTGTAAGTTAGCATGGTTCTCGAGTTACACATTCCAGGCCCACAATTACAGTGCTCTGCTCGTACCGTGCCAGAAAACAGGGATTAAAGTAAAATATCCGTGCGTATCTGACCGCCCATACGAAATATGCCCCCTGTTTTCTGGGATTTGTACTTACTGTACGGCCTGGGGCAAAGTACGATGATGTCGAGACAAGTACCAGCCCGCGTTCTCGAGCGAAACACTCAGAGGGGGTGGTCATCATTGGTCATGAATAAGCCGTGCTCGTTCTGAGCAAAAACGATTGAGCACGAATGACAAAGCTCGCCTTATCCCGGAGATGGAAATGGTCGAGCCGCAGCTTAAGCAATGCATGGAGCGATCCTGTACTCGAGTATGTGTCCTTAGGTTGCTCCGAAGCGGTCTAGCCCAATCGTTACCATACTGTGCATAATATGCAGATTGGATTGAAACCTCCACCAACAAACAATATTGCGAAAGTTTATCCACATCTCCGAAGACTGCTCTTTTTTCAAAACGGTTGCTCAGCTTATGCACTGTTTCGTTTCGTTTAGGAATGCGCGTAGGGTGCTCAACCTCCATAATACTGTTACCCATAGAGGGCTGGAATAATCGTTGGAGTTGCCTCTCCTGGCAGGGGCCATGGGTAGACTATCCCACACACAAACTTAAGTTGAGTCAGCAGTTTTCAGATCAGGTACTTTTTGCAAATTTTGTATCCTCCATTGAAGTTTGTGACTCCCGCGTGGACTTACCTACACCAGGCACTGGACAAGCCACTGCCCACAGCAATCGATGGAAGAAATCCCGGGCTTTGAATACTCGGATTCTTAGCTATCACCGGTACACGCACTTGTGGGTATACCCACCTAATTCACGAAGGCCGATGTGGAAAGTGGAATCGGAACGCCCATTTTCTCCCCAGCGTTTCGCAGTGTTCCAACCAGGTACGCTATACACTACCAATTTACCAACAATAAATCATCACATGTGCGAGAACCATAACCATTCACCGTTATCACTCCTCTTGCCATGGCACAGCCCTTCCCCCGACGAGGGAATATAACCAACCACTCGAAAACATCCCCAGACCAAGCTATATCGTATGGTAGAGAGTGAATTGGCCTCCATCCAACCTTTAGTACTCGAGTATATTTTCCCATCGCAGCGCCCCTCGCGCAGCTATCGTACCGAAATCGGTGATCACGTTTTGCTTTCAAACACGACCGATATCCAATCAATCGAGCAAGGCAACATACAGTGCCGTTTACTGTACTCCATCGGCATCGGAAATGGAAATGTGAAATTGGCTGTTATTGCCTTGCCTCCATTCAGCTTTGGCGGGTCGACGGTCGGCGGGAGAATGGTTGGTTGATTGGTTGGTTGGGCGGAGGTATGATAGGTTTAAGTCAGATCAAGGATCCTAGCGCTACCGATCCCGCTTTCACCAGCAAAACACCCATTTGTACCAAGGGTAGAATCCCCCCTGGAACCCACTAATATATCCAAACAAAAACGGTAGGTTCGATCATCTTGTTTTGGATGCGTGGATCGTACCGGTTGATGGATGGACTTTCTTTTCCTTCCTCCTTGTATGGCTTGCTTGGCTGGTTGATCGCTGCGCCTTTGGGCGATCTAGTAGTCCTATTTCCTTATGGTTAGCGAGTCGATAAGAGTATCATTGTACGAGTAGTCGAAAATTATCTCTGGTAAACGCTGATGTCATTGATTTAGACCTTTTTGCCTCACTGTGCCCCTAGTGTTTGCTTCTTTCTTTCTCACTCGGTTTTTTCAATTCCCGTACGGTACTGGACTACACTCGTACCCCATTCTTCTCTTCGGAGTGCAAATACTCGTAGAAGATTATGCTTGTCTGCTCGCTCGTGAGCAAAGCACTTGCCGGGCTGGGGTCAAATACTCGTAGAACTAAGGTTCTCCGATCCCTAGGGCTCCTCCAAAAGCCCAACGCATTTTTTTCATTCCTTTTTTCCACAATCACAATCTAAGCATCGTGATGATTTTCATTTTGCGCTCATTATCATCGTACTCCTACCCTTTCCTTTCCCTTCCTTCCTCCTCCTCCTTCACATTAGACCCTTCTTTCCTTTTTCCCAGCCATCTAGGCTCTACCACCGTCATCGCCATGCAATACCCGCCTCGCTCGCTCCGGGACACCGAGAGAGGCAAGAACATCGGAGCGAGGAGGGAAAAAAAGAACACATTCTTTTTTTTTTTCGGCGTAAAGAGTTGCACCTTCTCCTTCCCCTTTCACCCACATCACGCGACAATCTCACGATAATTTCACACAGTAGACGCCCCTCTTTTTCATATCATACCCCCCCGGTCGCTTTGAACCCATTGCATTGAACTCGGCCATTTTCTCTTTTCTGCCTTGAAAGGTGAATTTTTGTACCGTACGGCGTCAAGGGTTACAGCAAGGGGATCAGAAAAAAAACGGATGGATGGAGTGGGAAGTGAAACAATCTCCCTCAGTGCCGGTGGAGACCTTCCCCCTTCCTTTGTCCCGGTTCATTCGTTTGTTTGAAGCGGGGTAATTGCAAAAAGAAGAGAGGCAGGGCACAGACATGAATGGTGAAAAAGAAAAAGGAGAAGGGGCAGGCAGGCAGACAGATGCAGGCAGAAAATTGATAGGGTAATTGTACTAGCGCTGAAAAGGGTGTGAGCGGGTAGTATCGTGGATTCGTGGTTATTTGCCGTATCTCTCCGGAAAAAAAATAAACCAATTGGATTAACTTATTAGACTTCCGCCTCTACTTGTCAAGCTTCCCCTGTCCTATTGTTGGCGGTGAAAGGAGACAAAGACAGGAGAGGAGGAAGGGGTGTGATAGGAGGGGAAGTGTCAGGTTGTAAAAGCGACGCGCCGGGAAACATTTTACCACCGGGTCCAGTGGCCTAGTGAGGGTACATTAGGAGAGTGGGAAGTTCACGATAATCTTAGCGGAGGAAATTTTGTTGTTCAGGAGCTGTTTGCCGCACAACTACGTCAGCACCGGTATCATTGACTAGACTGACGCAGTGTTGGCAGTGACCACGGCTGATGTATTGACCAGTCCTGACCATGACTATGGTCAGTGACCGGTGGTCAGCAGAGGGGGGTGATGAGGGATGATGGGTGGTCAGGATTTCCTTGGCAAGCCCACAATTAGAGGACTGCTTTTTGCAAGTAAGGTTGTCACTATGCTTTATGAAATACCTGGCGAGCGAGCGTAAAAGAAAAGTAGGCTCAAAGCCAAGACCATCCTATACTGACCCCTGCTCTGACCAGTCCTGACTACTGGTCATGGCATACGGAGTAAGGGGGTGACCGGTGACTACTCGAGTACTTGATTTTCTGGGTGACTAGTGGTCACTGCTAACACTGGACTGACGGGACGTGTTGGTGATACAGGGAGTGGCAGAGCCTCAGGAACGTGTCAGGCATGATACGCATAACTATTCATATCGCCGATGTCCCTCGTGATATGGATAGGTTACAGACCCACGGATAACCTGGGAAACTCCTGTAACCCTGTCATCCACAGTTAAAGTGACAGCAGGATAATGGAGGTTGCGCTACGGAGAAGGGGTTACTCTACCCTACCGTACGCGTCTGAACAGCCCACATCCTAGATAAAGGGGAATTGAGAAACAACGGGAACGGGATCACTCCCTCGCCGTCATACACTCACTCAACTCTCTCAATTCATCTCTCTCGACAAGTGCGGTGATTGCTGTGCGATGAGTTGGTTGGCCGCTCAAACAATGGTTACAGTGCGACAGTGCTACAGTGCTGCTGCCTTTCGGCTATGCAAGTCCTTTTCGGGATACCATTCCATACCTGACCCTGGAGACCTCCAACTTGCCTGCCCACGAGATGGACAGGAGACGCGAGATTCTGGCGGATTTCCACGATTTCAGGGTCCCTTCCTGCGCCCGGACCAGGTAGATGGGAGGTGGTACGAGTACCATACCGTGTTATTATGATGATGAGAAAAGAAAAGAAAAGGGAAGAACATAATAGGGATGCCGGTAGGGTCAGCTTAGTGTAACTATAGGGTGTGGTCAACCGGGACGTTTGTTCGGCCCCTGGGAACATTCGGGTCCCCCCTTATGTGTGTGGACGAATTAGTGCTTATTTTTATCTGCTATGGTATGCTGAGTTGGATTACCGGTACCTTAGAGGTAAGATTGGACTATCTTTGGCAAAAGCAATTTATTGGGCTCTGGAGAATGGCAACTTGGAGAATGCAAATTCTGTCATCTAATATCATGCCAGCAGCAATAATTTAGGTCCTGTTTGGCATGGCGGGATTGTATCATATCATAATATCATACTGTCGGGTACAAATATATATGGCTATGGAATTGGGATTGTTATCATGTGCTTTCATTATATGGTTATGGGGTTTCGTCCTCAGTAGTCTGGAAATTGTACGCAAGAGGATTGCCCCCTATGTAGCTATCTCAGTGGAACACGGGAGAGAGAGTGAGAGATGAAGAGAAGATTTCAGTTCCTGAGGGAGAGATCTCCAACCTTTTAGATTCCAATCGCAATGGCTTCCAGCCTGGCAGAATATCATACCTTGTTCCGGCCAGGATCGTCAGTTTCTCTCATTACTTCTAACACCCTGAAAAGAACGCCTTGCCTCCGATTCACCACGGTAGACTATTTTTATTTTAGCTTTACCTAAACTGCGACCCTGGCTGCGAACAGTTTCAACACCTCCCAGTAGTCTGCACGTATGATACGTCGTAACATCTTTGAGCGAGGATTATGCGCTATTGCCCACCTATTTATGACTAGGAGTATGTTCCTCGTAGGAACCCACCCCGACTGGAGTTTTGTGATGAAAACCATCGTGATTGTTGTTATCTTTCAATGTGTCGTCGATATGTAGCTATCATAGCACCATATAAGTTGATGTTAAGTACCGGTATGCCACCCTTGGTATCATCGCTTTAGATAGCATTCCGGTTTTAGAGAAACTATGATACATTTTTCCTGAGCCGCATGAATTGTTTTCGTCAGATCATCTGATCTTATCTCTGATTCAATCCAACATAGATAAGATACTCGAGTAAACACTGATTTATAGAAAAAAAAAGGGGGGACACAAGAGACGACCCTGGGCCCTTCGCCTTCAAGGGTTGAGGATGAGGGTTCTGTGACGTCTCCCCTGTGGTGTGATATGATATCTTCCTACGTACCCTACCCATACTTACCTAACCTTATCACCTTACCCCACCACCACCTCCCATATCCACTTTCATGCTATCATACCTATTATCATATCCGAGTATCATACTACCGGTATCCGAGCATCATACTACCTACTTGGGGTAATAGGTACCGGTATCTAGGTGGCCGAACAAAATTTTTCTATGCTCACCCGAATACTTTTTCTCGCTCCGGGTACTATGCCGGTGTTCCTTCTGCTCCTCCTATCGCTCTATTCTGATTGATTCCCCCCCCATTGGGTGTCCAGCGATTGTTTCATTTTGGTTGCCTCTTGGGAGGACCTTATTATTGGAGTCCGGCACCGCCTATGGTACCTCACAACACCCAACTTGCAACAATGACACCTACAGATAGAATCTTTTAAATTCCTTCTGTAGAGTTTCCCCAAGTGGTTATTGGAGCATATTTGTGGGGCGATTTTCTTTTTAGTCTTTTTGTTGGTGCCGTAGAGGCCCTCAAAGTTTGTATTGGGGCAAAAATGTTTTTGCTGAATAATTAGCCAAGATACTTCCCGATTAGTTGTTGTTTACTACCCTATTAGGACTAGCGTTCTTTCTTGATACCGCACCGGTAGTCATCGCCGTTGATGCCCCAGGTCGCGACCGGGTAACCCCACTATGCTGCAGCGCAGCAGCACATCGACAGCTCTCTCCATCACCATCTCTCCTCCCCACCACAACACCGTTGTCAAAGCTCCGCATCTTTCTCCACAATCAATTCTATTCACCCTCAGTACTAATATTCAAAACCTAAACCATGGTAAAATTAAAGCTCAACACTGGGCTAGGGGCCGCCACTGCCGACAAAAAGAATAACAAGGTTTCATCCCCGAAAGTAACGGCGCCAAAGATCAAGCTCAAGACGAAACCTACTGGCGGGCCAACACTCAAGCTCCGAACGCCGTCGATGCCACAACTTCCCTCCGCAGCAGCCCCCAGTGCTCTCAACTCCCCAGCACCGATCAAAAACCCCGTGGTAAAGTTCAAGACCAAAGCGACGCACAGCACCCACAAACCGCGACGGCGCGAGCCTGGCAACGGGTACGATTCTGAGGCGTCTGATAGGGAAGAAGACCCCGCGATCGAAGAGCAGTTTATCCTGCGTATGCAACCCGGCGAGGACTGCGAGTACATCCGCGAGGTGATCGAGAAGAAGGAGTTGAACGTGACAACGGATGTGTGGATGAAATTCAAGGACTCGCGCAGGGCGGTGGTAGGTGTTCGTGGGAATTTGTACAGCGCTTTACTGGTGGACTTGCCGTGCATTATTGAGTCGAACAAGACTTTGGATAAGAAAGCTATTTTCAAATCAGCGGACATATCACAAATGCTCGTCGTCGGCGACCGGATTGATAGAGAGGAGGAAGTTCTCATCGTCCCCGCTCGTCCCCAGGACATCACATACCCGCACGGAGTCACCCCGCCAATGCACTACGTCCGTAAGCGCCGCTTCAGAAAACGCATATCAAATCGTACCATTGAAGCCGTGGAAGCCGAAGTCGAGCGTCTCCTAGCCGAGGACGCCAAGGCCGAAAGCTCAAAGTTCAGCCTGGTGGACGCAGTGGAACTCGAGCGTGAAGAGATCAACGCAATGTCGGACGTGGATCCAAACGAAGGCTCGTACGACCTCCTAGGCGACCAGGAATACGACTATGACCAAGATGCTGAAGGCGAGATTGACGAGGACTACCCTGGAGCCGTAGGAGCCGTAGGTGCAGGAGATGACGTAGATGTGGACGGTGACACCCTAGCCAATGACCTCGAATCCGCCCTCATGGACGAAGGCCCCGACGCCGACGGTGACAATACCAGCGGCAACGCCCTCCACCCCTCCGGTCAAAACGGCACCGTCGCCGCCACCCCCGCTGAGGAGGAATCTGAAGATGACGATGACGACGACGAAGAGGAGGAAGCAGGCGAACTGGACGAGGACGCGACCGAGGCAGCCCAAGAGAGGGAGAGACTTAAAGAGGAAATCCACGACCTCCAAACCGCTATCCGTGCCAAAGAGAGGGAGCTGTCGAAAATCACCAACAACCTCCTACGTGGCAGGGTGGAACTGGTCATCTCGAGTTTACAGTGCGAGTTGGATATGAAGATGTTGCAGGCCACGGGCGGGCAGCCGAAGTGATCAACCAATCAAGTCTTACCTATAGCGGGAAGGAAGGATGTTGTTATTCACTTGCGTTAATTCATTACTGTACTTGTACCTGGGGAGTCTATTCTTTCATTTTCCTTTCCCTCCTTTTCTTCAAACTGCTGTGGATGTTTTTTTTACTTGCTCACCCCCTAGCATGTTTCAATTATGTACGATAGCACAATCTTGCTCTCTCTATATCTTCTCATACCTTTTTTTGGTGCTTGCTACTCTTGACAAACGTATCGTGTTTAATAGCTTTATCACTTTCCTTTCTTTCCTTTTCACCACAGATAGACGGGCAGGCGGATGGGCTTTCATCATCGTTTCATTCTTGGGTTTCAACGTACATATCATACATGGCGGCGTTTTTTTTTTTTTTTGTCATGGGGGGAACATATAATTTAAATCAACCTTTCGTGCTAGGTTTCTATCGGGAGTGTTCTGGTACGTGCGTAAAGGCATGAAGAGATACTTGTAAGAGTAGTCTAGGTTGGATGGGCACCGTAACTGGGTGCGGTAGGTAGGAATAGGTACAGTCATTTAGCAAGGTTGTAATGAGGATAGTGTCACCCACAAAGAGTCACCTACTCAAAAGTTATATTAACAGTATCATACCATTATGCCATCCAAATGTTGGTAATAAAGAATTCCACTTCATATCAGAAGTAAAAATGGTAGGTGATAGATTGCGGAGTGGATGGTTTTTTTCCACCCCCCAAACACTAAGCAACCAGTTCCTCTGGCTTTCAGTATGGCCGGCTTGACCCAGGCTTTTCCACAGATGGCCTAGCTACACTGCAGGAAAGCAGCTTCTGAAAACAGGAGCCCGGTTTAGCCTGGGAATTTGCGGGTGTTGACTGGGTCTGCTGCAAGATTCGATTGTGGTTTTTTTTTGGGCACCGCCGGGCTTTGGCAGCTGTGAACAATTTCGACCAGACTGACCCAGATTTCTCGAAACTACGCCCGGACTAGCCACTTGGGATCACTACGCCTAAATGATATCTGTTGCTGCTGTCCTTGTAGGCTTGTCGATCGTTCTCGACCTCCCTCCTGGATGAGGTGATGGAGGTGGCCTTGAAGATGCCCCTCCTGCTGGCTAACCAGCTAATCTTTGGCGACCATCCTACACACCTGATACCTACTTGGAGAAACTCCGTTTCTTAATGCCCCCTAAGGTTGCCGCCCTGGCCAATGCGCAAGGCTAGTATCATATATCAGATATTACTAGTAGAAGGAGGGTTGGTGTACTGTTCTAGTTTAATTTCTAGTCTAACGTATTTCACCCAGTAATGGGTCACCCCCCAGTAATGGGTCACATATCTGCATTTTTGTAGTCCACTAAAAACTGAGATTCTACAACCACATTTCAATTTAAGATTCTGTAATTTAACATAGGTAAAGAATTATAATAGATCATGACAATTACAAAATATGAAAGGTTTTAGAAAAGAAATGCCTTTAGAATCCAGTAGAGTGATATTATATAAGAATATTCTAGGTCTCAGCCAATGGTAACATTGCCAGTCCCCTATTTATGGAATAATTGATTGAACGCCTGGTAGATCTATAGGGATGACTGCCACTAGAGTGTCATGAATGTGGCTTGGCGAGGAAAAGGTTTTCAAGTGACACATAGTTATGAGTCACAGGTATATTATTGTTTCACATATATGACTCATTCGAGTCATATGATTTATTATGTGTGGGATTTGTAATGCTTTCGAACACGACTCAAATATGAGTCATGGGATGTGTGCTTGATGAGTATACCTTGCGAGTGTGCCTTGCGGGTATGCCTTGCGCATATGATTTATGTTTCGCACATGACCTCGTTATGAGGTCATGGGTTTTGTGCATATGACTCAGTTGAGTCACATGACTTGTTTAATGTGTTATAATTGGTTTATGAGTTTTTGCACATGACCTTGCGATGAGGTGATAGGTTTTGAGCATGTGTGTTAGGAATACCAGAACCCAATACCTAGGAACCACCCTAAGTAAGGTAACCCCACTTGGAATCGGAATCTCAGGTCTCCAACACCCCCCCTCCGGCTCCCTTACGGAGCTTGCGCGTCATCACATATATCAATCTCAGTTTCGTCCTGTGACTACATTACCACAGAATTGAGGGTGTTAGAATAATACTGTATACGTCGCCGCCGTCTGACTGACCAGATCCTGTTCGCAGGATATATGAGAGAGGACCTTCGGCTAGGCCTGGGAAGTGGAACGGAGTAATTCCGTCAACTACTCAGAGAGATACTAGGCTTCAAAGGTATGAGACCTTTGGCATGGGCCATAGGTAATGGGACGATTTCGCATAATGAGATAGTATCAAATAGTAAAGGATCTCTACTAGAGACCGATACAATCGCATACACCAGAAGAGTCTAGAACTCCAAAAGACACTACCAAAGAAGCCAATGAACTACACGGAGTATTGCAACTGGGTTTCGGAATACGTTGTAGTCATGGAGTGATTTTCAAATACTACAATAGTTACTGAAACCTACTACCCAGAGAGCAACCAAGGGTTGCCGACCGAGGGATTAATTACCAGTTTAGTGGAGTGGCTTCTTGCGAGTGAATAGGAAGTCATCCAAAGAAAAACTATTGGTTGGGTATGGAGTTACAAAGGGTCGGAATCAAATGACCTGCGATGGTTGTAATGACGACCACTTTTGCAGATATAGCCGTGGATAAGACTGATCATTTTATCAATGGCGAAGACAATTGGAGCCAACTCAGTTCGACTAAGAACTAGGCTATAAGTCTAAAGACTCTGCTAATCGGGATATTACTAATGGGGACAGTATGTTTCCTAAGAAGAAATATCGTAATTACCGAAGAGGGTGTGATGGTTTTCAGGGTCCATAGATGTTTGCACCTTGGAAGAAAACTTGACGTTGCAAATTACAATTGAAGAAGTACATAGTTGTATGATAAATAGATGAAGTCCGCGAACACTCAGACGTGGAATATAAATATCGAAGTACCTCCCAAGCTTTAGACATTATCAAGCAAGGGAGAAGAGATCTTAACAATATAATATTGTTCTTACGATTCTATCTACTTCACTTTACTTCGCTCCTAGTAGTCATAAACGAAACGAGCCAAGTCCGAGCCTTCCTAGACAATCTTGAAGTCTATCAAGTTGTCTCCGCCTAACAATATGACCACTTTGGTCACATGACTAGTTTGTTATGATTTGGTTTTGCACATGTGACCACTTTGGATCACATGACTACAGACGGAAAGAATACTATATAAGGAGGCCGATGCAGCCAAGGAGGATAGGTTCTTCACACTTTGTTCTAAGTACTTTTCCTCTCCTTGCCGTCGCTTCGTCCCGAGCGTTTCTTTTGCACCCATGATGGGCCTTGATGCCTTGCATTCTGGGGCAGATATCTGAGTTCACTCAGTAGTTCCTGGGGTCTTTGGTGTTGAGGTCTGTTAGGTGTTGCTTGGCAGACTACTTGTTTGCTTCTCGTTTTGGCACTTGATGGCTTCTCACGATGCTGTCACTTCGAGCACTCTATCATGGTCGCATACGCGCTCCTTTCGGTAAAATGTCTAAGGCTTCCTGTCCATCATCTACTCGCAGGTTTCGCGTTTGTTTGGGGGGATTGAACATTATGTTTGAGGGGATCACCTGTGTTGTTCTTTGGGCCAGTGCATGTCTTCTGTTGGGTTTTAATGGGGTCCTTAGTTCTCGTGATACAAAACGCCCTTGGGTTAGACTGATGACCTTCCCAAGTATCAACGCGTTGTACTGGCCGCATCAATCTACTGGGGAGGAGGCCTTGCCGGCCCCCCCCCTCCTTGTTACTCCATGTTTTTAATGTCGGAAATCCTACGATGTTGTTTATCACCATTCCTTTGGAAGGTTTGTCCTCGTGGCATTTACGGTGGTTCAGTCAGGTGTCTCACGATGACACCTATACAGTCTGGACACTGCATGTTCGTT